TTGGGGATCGCCTTTTATTTGAAACCCCATGTTGTCTCTCAGTTGTGGTTTCGATTACGACTCGTTGAATCACGATAAATCGACCTCCAACCGACCTCAAAAGAGGTTGTCCCTATGGAAAAACCAGAGGGCTACCGGCTGGATGACCAAGAACCAGGCTCTTTGTTTTTTCACCCTTTTAAGGAATTATTTTGCCTTTTCAAACCAAGCCAATGATTTTTAAGTCAGCAAAGCAATCTTGCGAACCAAAAGGGCACGGATTATCTGTGCTTGTTGGTGGTAGTGACGTTATAACATGGGTTTTATAATGGTATTATGCCAAGGAAACAACAGGGGCCTGGCTCAAGAGTGAAAAAGACCATGTTTGAAGGCTCTTGGTTTTGCCAAGGATCTTAGTTGTCCAGCTGGTAGGCTTTAGCAAATTCAAATGCATCCAATCCAAAGTAGTGTGATTGAAAACTCTTTTGTCAATAATTCTGTATATTCTATTTTTGAAATGAGTCTTTCTTGCAGTTTTTCTTGGATGTACGTACATGTTCCCAAGGATGGATGATTTTTCAAGGCCTCTGCCACGTATCAACGTGAGAAAGATGCAGCCTCACAAAGATTCGAGAAATGGTGATGTTCGTCAGGCCTTCTGTGACATTTCTTCTTGGAAAAGAGACATAAAGCCTATGTCGCAACGACATGGAAAGTTCCACAATAGAATGAACCTTTTTTAAAAAGGGCTGTATTAATAAAATAGTTTGAACCGTTCGGTACTACCGTAAGAACAATGGAGAAGTTCACCCAGTGACTAGTACTGACAGTACTGTACATGTAGCTACGTAGCTACCGCCGATACTCGAGTACCAGTGGTTAGTTTGCGGTATAACTAAATTTGTAAATACTAGCTTGATCCCAAAAACCTGCCTTGCTTCCTGGCACAGAGAATCGAGAGAACGCCTTCAGGTTCGAACAGCCAACTTCCTGATTGAGAGTTGAGAAAGGGTTTGTTTGGGCATCGCTTGATCTCTTGTCTTGATCTCTTGTGCTTTTTTATTCTCAACCTGTGAAGGGTCTTTTATCTATTGCTCTTGTTTGTTTGTACTACGGTATAGCAAGGCAACCTCTCTTTGTTTGTTTGTGTTTACTCTTTGCCATGGCGCAGATTCTTCCAACGTTTGCTCCAACCATCGCGCCAACGTCTCATGTGCGCGTGCAATTGATCAATCCGGAGCCGCTGGTGATTTGGGATCAGTCTCAGTTCAATGACCTGTCGTCCGAAGAGCTGCTCCTGGAGGCTGCTTCTCAGCAACATCAAGAAGAAGAAGAGGCCGCCGCCCGCACGCCTCTTCGACAGGGAAGCAGCAGTAGCAACATCGGCTTCGGCGGCGCTCCACCTCTGGAAATTGTGCTCCGGAAGAGACTGCCCGATGTTCCGTCTCAATCTCTACCGCCCAGTCCTCGATCGCCGCGAAAGCCCACCTACATGTACATGGCTCCGAGTGCCCATGTCTTGTCTCGAAGGCGATCCTCGTCTCGTAGTTGCGATACGACCAAGAAGGAATGTGATTCCTCGTCCATCGAAGGATCCGTCAAGTCCGCACCAACCCATCCATCGCTGCCCATGATTATGCATCCGCCGCCCTCCATGCCGCCGCCCTCCATGCCGCCGCTGCCACCTCCTCCACCACCCTCTTCGATTGATGTGGCGGTGCCATTGGCCGTGACACCATCCGCTCCTATCGTGGAGCAGGAGCCGCAGCCCAGCGACTCGTCCTCGGCGGTCATGGGATTTCTGCACGAGCGATTTTCCACCTTTGAATCCAATATTGGTGTGTTGACGACAGCCAATCGGCGGGTGGTAGAACAACAGATTCCAAAGAGTGGTCCACTAGGGCGATTTTTGGAGGCTCGTGTGACGACCTTTTTGAAGAATGTAGAGTTTCTCACAGGGCTACAAGTGTCGTCGAGTAAAACAAAAACAACGAAAAATACAGCCAAGAATCCGCAGCTCTTGTTGGAAGGGGACTCATCATCACAAAAAGAGAGTCATCAGCAAATTAGTAAGGAAACTGGTAAGGAAAAGGCCGAGGAGGAGGCTTCTGTTGCGCTAACAGAAGCCTCCAAAATTAGGGATTCCAGGCAACCAACAACAACAACACCACAGCCAGACGAAACAGATTAGTATAGTTACAAATAATATTATTGTGTAAAACTACATAAAGGAGCATCTTGTCTACATGCCAAAATGATCTAATGTGTGCTCTGTCAATAGCTAGCTAGCTAGCAATTTGACAAGAAACTGCACAACCCATCTAGTCTAGCTAGCACCAGAACAAAGCCAAACCCTTTGCCCCCCGTAATGGTCCTCAATTTCTTGCCCCTGATCCCTCAGAACCTAGTCCTGAATTTCGACTGTTCTTTGCTTAAGCCTGGCCCCGGCTGGCTTCCGTAGATAATTTCCCTACTCTAAACCCCTTTTCCTTGAACTATGATTGTTCATTTCAATGAAGGATACCGGTAGCGTTTGGGACTCAGCAGAATACTGTAATTGTTTGTGCGATGTTCGACGATTCGATTCTGTGGAATGCTCACCGAACGCTCTATCGGTACCAGTACTTTTACGGTACTCAGTTTAGGCGGCATCGAAGACTTAGCTACGGTAGCTAGCTAGCTAGCCAGGACCACAAGGAGATGGACTGCATGGGTTACCAGTAAATCCTGCCAACGCATGGCTGTACCCTTCTTTCAAGGTTGGCGCCCGTCCCAAGCTACCCGTACTAGTAGCTACAAGCTAGAGACAGTGGTGCGTCGTCTGTTGGCCGGGTAGTTGGTATGACCTTCGCCAGCTTTAAACTTTGGGCACGGGAGCTCGACGTTACCGCAACCTTTCGACTGAATGACGATCCTTGTCCAACATCGAGACACCACACGTACTACCTATCTAGCTACTAGCTCCAGCAGGGAAGAACTCAAAGTCGACGCCTCTGGTGCCGTACGAAGCAGCAGCTCGTGTTACCGCGTATGGCCAACACGTATTTTTGCCAGCAGTCCACACGTCGCTTCGTAATGGGATCGTTCTTTAGTCTTAATAACAGAGTTTACAAACAAAAGGGTTGCAAACTTTGGAAAAGTGGACTTGCTTGCATCGACTACCTTGGCAGATGTCCACCAGCTTATCCTTGGTTGTCAACAAGGCACACTCCGAGTCAGGAACGCTCACAAGCAGGGAGATAGTGTGAAAACACACCCGCGTTTTCTGGTCTGACGGCTCCAGCCAAGGGCAAGTGCGGTTGTAGGTAACTCCAATTAAGAAAATTGGTGCAACAAGGGGCACAACCGACGTCCCATTCACGAGCCATCTGGTTGCACTCTTGCAGTTGTAGGCTTTGATTTTTTGCCATTGTCCAACAAGACTTGGGTCTGGTGCTTGTCTTAGCGGCTCGCTCTGGCGGAACGCCTCCTTAATCCGCCCAAAGCATATCGGTAATGTGGAAGCAGGTCCCCAGAGTGTTAGGCTGCAATTCAGTTCTATTCAATGATATTCTTCGACGATGACGGTAAGCAAGCTTTGTATAATAGCTACCGGTACTCCGCAGCTAGATAGCTAGCGTGTGGGCGTTGCTTGAACACTGACAGGTTGCCACTGCATCCAGTTCGGGTTCAGGAAGGGTTCCTTCGTGTCGAGGAAGTACTGTACCCGTTGTTGCTCTGGCTTCTTGGTGTCGAGCGTCTCTGGTTTTCCCCCTTGTAGCGTAGGCCTCGTCGATGTTTGGTCTTTGCCTGGACGTCGACGAGAGATGCTTGCGTCTGCGGATGCGAAGGAGTTTCGAAGGAGTTTGTCGCCGTAGTGTGGGAAGAGTGAGGACTCCTCCCTCTTGCATCGCGTAGGCTAGTCTTACTGCCAGGTTGCTGGTGCTGTAGCTGCATTCAGTCCGGGTTTTCAAGAAAGGTTCCTTCGGGTCGAGGTACCGGTTGCTTTGGCTTCTTGGGAAGAGCGTCTCAGTCTTCTTTCCATGTAGTGTTCGCCATTTCCATCCTCGTTGATGCTTGGTCTGTGCCTCCAGAGATGCTAGTGTCTGCAGATGCGAAGGCGTTTGTCAGTCACCGTGGTACGGGACGAGTCAGGACTCTTCCCTCTTGCACGGGATTCGCAAAACACAGCTCATAAAAACATATCTGGGCTAAACGAGCTCAGCGTTTTCGTTTGCCACTCTATCAGAATGGTTTGTTTCAGCTCCTTTTTCTGCAAAGCCCTGATTGTGCTTGCTATCACAATCCAAACTGTGAGTGCTGCTAGTCCAGGCATTTGGATCAATGAGTTTCATTATGACAACAGTGGCCGCGACGTAGGAGAGTTTGTTGAAGTTGCCGCCACTGCTGGCTTTGACACAAATGGTTTCGTGATTTACTTGTACCACGGAGCGAGTGGCTCTGTGTACGTTGTAAGGCCGGTATTACCAATCAGTAATGTCAATAATGGTGTTGGCTTTTCTGTGATCCATGGAGGTTTATGGAATAGTCCTTCAGGAATTGCTCTTGTGGATGGCTTTGGAACTGTTGTGCAGTTCTTGAGCTACGAAGGAAGCTTCACTGCTACAAATGGTCCAGCTGCTGGAATGACTTCAACCGATATTGGAACATACGAGTCTGCAGATCCTGTGGGATTATCTCTGCAGCTTGCCGGAACCGGCTGTGCTGCAGCCGACTTCTCTTGGCAATCTCCTCAAGCTGCAACGAGTGGATTTGTCAACACTGGCCAGACGTTCAACTGCAATGATGGCCCAACTCATGCTGGACCAATGGATGATCCGACGGCGTCCATCAAAGGTGACCCCCATATCGAAACCTTTTCTGGGACCTGGTTCGGTAAGTAGTGTGTTGGTATTAGAAATCTAAAAAGACGAACCTTTTCTCTCTCACTGGCATTCAACTCGCTTTGATTTCCTGCAACAGACTACCAAGGCGGTACGTGTGATGATACAACGAAGGTTTGTGCAGCCTACGTCTTCTTTTTCCTCAACTGTCTCCGGCGGTGTTACACACAGAATGTGACCTTGTTCTGATCGATGCACCAAACTTTGCACCTCTTGCACCACTACTTGTGTTGGTCAGGACCAGAATCAGATATTTGTACAGGTAAGGCAAATCGCCGTCCCACTGTTCTGCACGTTCTATCTTTGTACCAAGCCTTCCTTCCACCCTCCGCATCTTCCATCTTCCAGCTACATTGAGTCTGCTGTCTTGAAGATTGGTGATGATGTGCTAGAAGTTGGCAGTTTTGGAGAATTCTTTGTCAATGGAGTGGACGGGGGCGATCTGGCTGGCAGCGGAGCATTTGTGACAACCGTCGGCCCCTATGCGCTTCACTACCATCAGACGGATACACGCTCTCACAAGTTCACCATCTCACTGGGCAAAGACGAATCAATTGTTGTCAAATCACACAAAGACATGGTAGCAGTAGTCCTCGAGAAGGCAAGCCCAAGGCGCTTCCATGGCAGCAGGGGCATTGTGGGTGATTATGACACTCGAAAGATGTTGAATAGGCAAGGTATGGAGATGGACATTGCCGACACCAATGCATTGGCCAGGGAGTGGCAGGTGCGCCCGGAGGAACATGGACGGCTCTTCCAGGCATTCAGGGCGCCTCAGTATCCTCAGGAATGCAAGCTTCCTGTTGCCTCTAAAAGGGTTGGTCGGCGCCTTGGTCAACCCAGAATTTCCCAAGAGGGCGCTGATAATTGATGCACGTTCTCGATCGAGTGGCCCCGAAAGAAAAACCTGCGTGCACGATGTGTTGGAAGTTGGAGCCTTGGATGTTGCCGTTGCTTTTTGATATGCCTGTCCAGCACAACTCGTAGGCTAAGGACTTGATACAATAGGCAAACTGTTGCGTACGGTACCGGTAGCCACTAGCCAGTCCAATATATGTGTCCGAATTGGGGCTTGTAGGGCCGGGGTGGGGCCACTCTCGATTGAGTTTTGGAACAAAACTTGCTACTTCCGCACGCAAAGCCAACAAGCTACTCGAGGAGATGTTGCTAGACGGCCAGTTCGCAGCATAGTTCGATTCCGCAGCCTCGGTCTCCTTTTGTGTCTTGACACATTCGTCTTTATTTCAAACAAAGCACTGCAGAGCACAATGTCCCAGCCAGTCGGCTAGCAGGCAGCGCTCGGTGCGTTGCCTGAGCATCCAGGAGCTTCAATTGAGTCCAGCCACACGCCTAGCCAAAACGATGGTGGAATGGACACGAAATAGCTGCCGGTAGGGACCAAGATATGCCGAAAGTACCGTACTACATGTACATTCAGTCACTGGGAAGTCCGAACGACACGTCGGAGCAAACTTACAAGGGGCTGGTTCAGCCGCACGCCAGCCAAAGTTGGCGGTTCATCCTCAGCCGTCGCAGATCTGACTTGAACTTGTGGAACGAAGAGTAGAGAAGGTGCAAAGATGGTTACCGGCACCGGTGCCGTCTATCAGGTACCACGGTACCAGTGCATGCTACCAGCGGTACCGGTACCGTGGGACGCCTACTAGTAGTTGGCACTACCGGCAGTGATACATGTATCAGGAGGAGGACCGAGGTCTCCGACGCTTGCACCTGCCTGCCTGCGGACTGATCGTGCTAGAATCAGATAGAATCGTATATGTAAAAGGTGCACTTGCCCCCCTCTGAGTGCAACTATCTTCCATGTTTCAGCTTCGTGGTCTCGCTCTCTCGTCCTGTTGGATACGGTACCCGCCATGACATCCTCGGACCTTAGACCACAGCCTTTGACAATAATTTGGATCAAATTGTGAGACGATCTTGGTTTGTTCTTGCCTGCAAGCCAGCCTGCAATTTGGAGCATCTGATCGAGCACAATCATTCTTGGCCGCCTAAGTAAGAGGCTTTAATTGGCTTGAAATGAGACAGTCAAACATTTTCGATCTTAAATAACCATCTGAGACATGTTGGCGCTTGAATGAAAAGTTGTCAAAAGAGTTGGTAATTAAGCAAAATGAGAACACTCAATCAAGAAGCGAAGCATCTGCCTCCACTCTGTGGTGTTCTCTTTGTTCTTTTGGATACCCTTCTCGCTTTATTGTCGACGCCAAGGTTCACCTATAAAAGAGCCACCCAAGATCCCTATCGTGCTGCAGCTTCAGGATAGTAGAGCACTTCCTTCCCTCGGAGACAGCTTCGCATCAGCAAAAACTGTTGCCTTTGAACAACTTTTCCCATAGTTTAAATTGACCGCGCCCGCAAAAGCAAAGCTGTAACCCAAAAGCAGTCCAGGATATACCCCGTGTTATTATCCAGAGCATTCTCCGTTTTGCCACTCCCTCTTTTTTTCTGTTGCCATTAAAAAAGGAATCAAATCGTCACCATGCCCGTCAAGCAAGTTACGGCCTACCACAAGCCCGATGAGTTTATCGGTGGCAGTGGTCCCATTGAACCCGTGAAACGATTTTCCGTCACGAAAAAAGCTCCCGCCACCAGCTCGGGTCTGGACAAGCCCGATTTCTTTCTGGGCGGTTGTGAAGCTGCTACGGAACAAAAGAGTCGCAAAATGAAGATGCGTGCCAGCTGGGTCACTCCCAAGGGTGACGAACCGGAACACTCGTTGGAATCCCTCATGTCGCACAACACACCCAAGAAGGATCAAATGGGAGGATCCGTGCCGGTCATCAAGACAAATTACAATCTCCACCATGACAGTGACGACGAGGATGAAGACAAGACCAAGACAACGGCGGGATCTTCTACGACGAGCTACCAGAAACCAGACGATTTCTTGGGGGGCAGTGAACCTGGAAAGGCGGTGCGTCGTTGGTCTCGTCCCGCCGCACCCAAGGAAGAACCGGCCAAGAAAAAGTACGACATCGAGTGGGAAAAGCCCGGTGATTTCATTGGTGGATCCGAACCAAAGCCTGTCAAAAAGTGGACACCCCCTCCCAAAGATGACGATGACAAACCCGCAAAGAAGAAATATGATATTGAATGGGACCATCCAGATCAATTTCTGGGCGGATCTGAGCCAAAGCCTATCAAGAAATGGACACCACCGCCCAAAGATGATGATGACAAGCCGGCAAAGAAGAAGTACGACATTGAATGGGATCACCCAGATCAGTTCTTGGGTGGATCAGAGCCAAAACCCATCAAGAAATGGACACCACCGCCCAAAGACGATGATGACAAGCCAGCAAAGAAGAAGTATGACATTGAATGGGATCATCCAGACCAGTTCTTGGGTGGATCAGAGCCAAAACCCACCAAGAAATGGACGCCTCCGCCCAAGGAAGATGACAAGCCTGTGGAAAAGAAAAAGTATGACATTGAGTGGGATCATCCTGATCAATTCTTGGGTGGCTCTGAGCCCAAACCCATCAAGAAATGGACTCCACCTCCCAAGGATGATGATAAACCTGCAGAAAAGAGGAAGAGTGACATTGTAATTGAGGCTCCCAATGATTTCTTGGGCGGCAGTGAACCCAAGCCCATCAAGAAGTGGACGCCACCCCCCAAGGACGATGACAAGCCAGCAGAAAAGACTACGAGTCACATCACAATTGAGACTCCCAGTGATTTCTTGGGTGGATCTGAGCCCAAGCCCATCAAAAAGTGGACTCCTCCACCAAAAGAACCCGAAGAACCAGCCAAGAAGAAGTACGATATCGAGTGGGATCACCCGGATCAATTCTTGGGTGGCTCTGAGCCCAAACCCATCAAGAAGTGGACACCACCACCAAAAGAGGAGGACAAGCCTGTGGAAAAGAAAAGGTATGACATTGAGTGGGATCACCCGGATCAATTCCTGGGTGGATCGGAACCAAAGCCCATCAAGAGGTGGACTCCACCTCCCAAGCCCAAGGAAACTAAGAAAGACTATGATATCAAGTGGGACAAACCTGGTGGCTTTTTGGGTGGCTGTGATATTCCCGAAGCCCGTAGGTGGAAACCAATTCCCAAGGAGGAGCAAGTGCCAGCTCCGTGGGAAATGGGAAAGGGCCGAAAACCCAGAACGGCTTCGATCGGTCATGGCAACAAGGCGGGACCAAACCGAAACAACGCCAGAGCCAGTTGGGTTGCGGATACCATTAATCGTCACGTAGCTGCCGCCGCTGCCGAAGAAGAAGAAGAGCCGGAAATGAGTCTCGACCAGCTGGCTAGTGAAGACAAGGAAGAAAAGAAGAAGGTTACCGGCGCTGCGAAATGGGGCATGAGTATGCCTGCCATGGGACATGACATTCACGACGACGACGATGAGGATTACAACGAGCACATGTCCTACAAACAGCATGTGAGCCACTTTCACAAGCCCAACGACTTTTTGGGAGGTTCGATGCAACCCAATGTGGAAACGGCTCCTCGCAAGGCCAAACTGAGGGCGAGTTGGGTGCAACCGAAAAACTAAAAAGGCACATGATGGCAAGCTGTGGGTACTGTGCAATATTACTGTATGGATTTGTGATGATGTTCGATGACGAGTTGCATTTTCCGGGACTGTCTCTGTGGTGGGGAGTCCTTGCATTTTTAAATAAAAGCTATAAAGCATTCATTTATGACGACACGGTAGTGCGCCTGCAGCCAGCTCGCTGTTGTTTACAACCCCTTCCGCGGGCTTCTCGTCGATCATCTATGGGTGGGATGGAACTTTGGGATCTTCGACTTGCCAAGAATGCTCTGGGGACAATCCTCGAAACCCCGTGGTGCCAAATGCGCCGCCCAACAATCTGCAACTTGCAACTGCATCGGCATGTCTTTGCCTTGTTGATACCAAAGAGAAGCAATTGTGGTCAGAGCGGCCAAAGCTATATTCAAATCGGCCCTGGCTGGCCGTCAGTCCGGCATCTAAAAACTGCGTCTTTTGTGCCCAGCCAGCTTTCATCCACAATCTACAGTACAGGAACCAATGCAAAAACTATCAAGGAGACCTGAGGCCAAAGTCTGCATCCTTGGCTGAACGTCTACTTGAACGTCTACTTGACACCTGCTTAGAAAGCAAGTTGCGTCTTACTTTGTTCCCTTGGCCTTGAGCAAGATCGACATGAAACCAAGTCAACAACTAACTATACATGCATGTGACTATCCAAACAATGCACTGACTACACTATGGAGCCTTGCTCGTCATGTGTTACTGATACTTTTCCCAAATAGCCTCCATGGCAGCATCCAAGGCATCTTTTCCTTGTTCGGCCAATCTTATGGCATTTTTGCTGTAAAGTGTAATCCCCGACGCCTTTTGAGTGGTTCCATCAGCTAATGGCAAATCGACAATACTCTTGGCTCCCACGGCGGCATTCAATTGCGTGACACGCAATATGTTAATCATGGTGTGAGGAGCGCGTCGTTGGTAATTGGACAAGAACCAATCGTTTTCACTCATACTTTGTGCAATATCGTCTTGTCCATTATTGTGTTGTAACATGGCGGGAAGCCACGATTGTGGTGGCAAATGCCCAAACGCGGGTAAATTGGCGGGATGAATCTTTGTGCGGGTGTATGCCGGATGAAAATGCACCAATCCGACGGCACCATCACCGCGAAAGAGACACAAATTGCGACTGATCAATTCGACGACGGCGGCAAATCGATCGTGATCCTGCGGTGTAAGTCCTGCGCCAATCGCCGGTAAACTGAGTAGGGTGGTACTGATTTCCGTTTCGGGAGTCGCCAACAATTCCGAGACGGATTCCCAAAAGGCCGCGACGGCCGCACACGCATCGGCGTCGGCACAAAAATTGTAGGCGACAGGTCCTGGAGTCACGCCTCGTTTTTCCAACCCCGTGGCACTCCAATCCGGTGTTTTCGTATACGGGCACGCACCCAATCCGACGACTGTGCCATTGACAAATTCTTTCAAGGCAGCCGTGCACTTTTGTTCGTCCATCAGTAGTAGTTGTGGAGGAGTGGATTGTTGTGATGTTCGTGATTGTGTTTGAATCACCAAGGCCGGCTGCACCACTGTGTCGTGTTGTTGCAAGAGCGAGATCTGAATGCGTTCCAGCTCGGGCAACTGCGCCATTAATCGATCGTCCAACCGTAGCATGGCATAATCGGATATAAAGGACGTGAGCGCGCTCAGTGGAATTTGGGGAAATGTCATGCACACGTGTTGGGCATCATCCGATTGGCTCATGGTTGCCAATGTACTCCAGAGCGCCGCATTCATCGTTTGGACTTGTGCCGCATCGCATTCCAAAATTTTAGCTGAAGGATGTTCGGCTTGAAAAGATTCCACACTCAATTTCAACTTCTCTTGTGGATCGGTCGCCACAGAAAGGGCGGAAGAAGAAAACCGTTGGCTTGGAGGAGAAGACGGCAGCAACTGGAAGGCATCGCTGCACCACACAACACTGGAGAGCAAGAGATACGAGCAAACATAGTGGAGACTGAACATCATGATGATGGTGGACAGGACAGGACAGGACAGGATAGACAGACACTGGCACGCAACAGTCAATACATGTAAGATACCGTATGATGGATCCTTGTTGGAGGTTGGGCGTCAACAAAACATGTTGTTGAGGGGAGGTTGATGGCCAAATGACGTCAGTTTGAAGCAATAAGCCAGCAAGCCAATTAAACATCTTGAGACGAGGAATCCAAGAAAGAAGGAGAACCTGGATGGATGGATTGCCCGCACGACCGCACCATGAGGGCATTCTCTACTCATTCTCGTCCTATTTTCTCGTCCTAACTGCTCGTCCTATTTTCTCGTCCTATTCTTAGGACGAATTGGCAATCTCTAAAAAACTCGTTCTAAAACCAGACTTAAGATAGGACGAGTTTTAGGACGGACGAGTTTCAGTCTCTAAAAAGCTGGTCTCAAAACTCGGCCTGCAGGCACCTCTCCTCTATCGGCCTATTAAAGTGGTCTTGATAGTGAGGCTAGGAGCTTCCCACAAAGAACCTCTGCTTCCCACGAAGAACCTCTGTAGTATACCGTAACTGTTGGAGTTTGTTATCTGGGTGCCGGTACACTGTAGCTACCGGTACTAGCTTTAAAGCTAGCTAGCTAGCTTCAGTAGCGCTGCAATCTTTCAGTCTTGTTAACTCAGTCATGTTATGGCATGTGATGTCATCAAAGGAGACTCAAGGATTTAGAGGTCATGTTAAGACGAGTGTTAGGACGAGTCGAAATAATTCGTCCTATTTTTCTGAAATATGACGAGAAAATAAAATTCGTCCTAAAAATAGGACGAAATTTAGGACGAATTCGAGTTAAAGATTGCTTTTGTCCTAAAAATTCGTTCTAAAATAGATTTAGAACGAATTTTAGGACGAACGAATCTACTAGAGAATGCCCTGAGAACTCGAACACAAGATCACGTTGAAGCGTTATGAGGATACATACTCCAGAGTTGTCGAAAGTCGGAAACTATGGCTACTGGTTAACTAACTGGTACTCCAGAGTACTGAGGACTGTACTCTTTTAATCAACAGTAACTGTTACTACTCCGAGTAGTTGTCTATCTAGCTAGCTAGTTACACGGAGTAGTTTTTTATGCCGAGCAGCAGTATAATGTAAAAGTGGTCGAGGATAGTCTCTTGAAATTGTACAAAAGCTATTCTTGTACTGTGAATCAGAGTCCCAAATGAGAAGCATTATTAATTAAAATAGTGCTTTGGTTGCCAGATCGCACTTCCGGAAAAGCCTGAACAAAAGTAAATCTCCGAAGGTGGTGAGACTACATGTACGGCACGATAGCTTTAGAGTTGCAAGAGCGAGAATGCAAGGGTCTCGTTGTCTCGTTTGCTTCTCCTCGGCGCTGGGACGGTAGACTACCGTAGGCTATCGGGTTCGTATGGCTTGGCTCCTCAAAAGGACCCCGAACCTTTCAAGAAAAGGGAGCTACTGCTTGCTTACACAAATTTATTTTGCGGTGGCTACTCATCATCTTCTGAGAAAAGGAAGCTCCACACGTGGAACCTAGCAGCAGTTTGATTGTCTTCTACCAGTAAATTCATTTCATCTTTAGGCATCACGATGCAAGCAGCAGCCCAAGACGAAGATTTCAGAAGGCATGATGATGCTGGCTCCAACCAACGTCCACCTCAGGTACCAGACGAAGGACTGGATCTTTGGCAGGAAGAAGTCGTGGCAGATGGTGCCAATGCGGAAGCTGTACTAGTAGCCGTGAACGATAATGGAGCCAACGACGACGAAATCGACAACGTTCAAGATGAAAGTGACAGCAGTGAAAGTGAGGAAGAGGAGGAGCAGGAGGAGGATGTCAATCCCGCAGGCCCTGCTGCCGTTGAGTTGCCACTTGGTCCTTTTGATCATCGTCGAATGCAACTCACCCATGCGGAGCGCCAATGGGCTCTCGACATTAAACAAGCCATTGAAGATGAACCGGAGCTGGATTCCGTCTCTGACTTTTGGGTAGCTCAACTAGCATTGATTGACCAAGGCGATACTGCAGCGTCTCTAGAGCGAGCACACCAGATGCAGGGCCTTAGACAAGAGTATGGAATCTTGGATACCTACGAGCATGGAAGGCAAGCTATCCATGACTTTATGGATCTATTCCCCGAGCTTCTCCTATCATTCAGTTTCAACCATGTGTATGGGACATATGTCTTGGTGTTTGACACTGCCAAGCTGTACGCCAAAACCCTCAACACGAAACCGGGTGCCATGGCAACTTGGCTGAGCGCAATCTACTACGTGAATCATTGCATGTCGCCGGATCTGGAAGCCATCAGAAGTGGTGTTGTGTACATTGTGGAGTGTGAAGGCTTTGAATGGAGCAAACACTTTGGACTGCAGATTTTCAAAAAGTTCTGGCTCGAATTGGGTACGGTCTATCCTTTTCAATTCAAACAGATGCGTTGTTTTCATACTGGTTTGTGTTTCACGTTGATGGTGTCAATGGTCAAACAGTATTTGCCCGCCAAAGTCCATTCCAAGTTTACTGTTGGGAATCTATGCAGCCTTGGGCGATTGGACAATGTCTACTACTCACCAGGGGTTGAGTTTGCTAGAAATGTGCTGAAGCTCCGATTGGGAGAATCCTTGGACAGGAGGTACAGAAATGAGGCTTCCTTCTCTCTGTGAGAGTGACAGATGAAATCTGCATTCTGTTGTACATGTATGCAACTGTGTTCTTCCGATGAATCCATTGGATTTTCAACCATAACACTATAGTAGCTAGATAAGCTGGCTGACTGAGCCAAGGGGAAGATAGGAGAAAATGAAAGGGCAAGGCTGTTGATATTTGTGCGGATTGCTGCGGAGCCCAACTCCTACGCTGTACGGAATGCCTGTAGAACGACCAGTCGAGGTGTCGTGGGTCAATGGTGTCTGTTGATGCAGTACTGTATACTACACAGTCTCTCTCTATCAATGCATGTCATCGGATCTCGACGCTATCAGAATGGGTATTGTGTTCATTATCGAGTGCAAAGGATTCGAATGGAGCAAAAACTATGGGCTGCAGATTTTTAAGAAGATGTGGATCGAATTGGGTACTGTCTATCCTTTTCATGTGAAACTGTCCGGTTGCTTTCATACCGGCTTGTGTTTCACATTGCTGGTGTCAATGGTCAAACAGTACTCGCCCTCAAAGCTTCATTCAACGATTTCTGTTGGGAATATATGTGGCCTTGGGCGGTTGGACACTGTCTACTACGCACCAGGGGCTGAGATCGCTAGAAATTTGTTGAAGCTCCGGTTTGAAGAATGTTTGGAGAGGAGGTTCAGAAACGAGGCTGCCTTCTCTCTGTGAGAGTGACAGATCAACTCTGCATGTATGCGATTGTGTTCTTCTAATGTGTCGAGTGGATATCCAATCCACTAACTAGATACACATTTTTTCGCGACCCACCGGTAGCTGACTGAGCCATGAGGAGATAGTTGGAGATAGCCCTCAGAGGGAATTGGTGGTATCGCCATGGGAAATTGGAGCACAATTGATTGCACTATCGACCACCCCGAATATTTGCTGGACCGCCTTACATAAAGATTCAAGTCAGGGGTACCATCAACTACAAAAATACAGCATGCGACGAGTCAAGTCTATGATGGGTTGACACGGTCAGTGATGGCTTTACGACGGAAACCATTCGCACAGATGGTGAGAAATTTATTTGTCACAAGCGAATTCTATTTCTCTTGTTTCTTTTTTTCTTTCTTTTCCTTTTTCATCTGTTTTTTCATTTCCTTTTTGGCCTTTTTTTCTTCGTCGTCCGAGTCGTCGTCGCCAAAGACCATGTCTATTCCGGAACTGACAATTCCATACAGTCCCCCGGTGAGGACATTGGCCGTGATTTCGCCGGCAAGCTCTACATCGGCATCAAACTCTTCGTCTTCTTTTTGCTTTTTGTCCGCTTTGCTCTCCTCGATGTTTTTGACAGTGGCTTCGTTGTTATCGACCGCTTCATCGCTGTACTTTACGGTGGAGTAGAGTCCATCGGTCAGTGCATCGGCCACCGTTTCGGCCGCCAACACCGCCACCTCTCCAGCTCCCTCGAGAGCCTGTTTCACCTTTGAGCCACCCTCCTGTTGGGAGGAGGCATCGCCTGTTCCAGGCTTGGCATCTGCATCAGTTGTCGAACTCATCTATCTATCTGGATTGGAGGTAACAAAGAGCAACAGGGCTGCATTCAATCAATGACTTGGTCCATCATTTATTTGCTCGTGGGGTTTGAAGTTCCGTTGTTACACGGACCAGTGCCTACCCGCACCGGTGCCAGTGTGCCAGTTCGTTGAAGCGAGAAAAGAGAGTTTGTTGAACCGGTACCGGTACGTGTATGTGACGTGGCCTATGAATGACGTGCATTCGTGGATACTGAAAGTTTGACTTCTTTTATTATAGCAGACAACCTTTCAAGTTTGACACAGTCTACTGTACATGTAGCTTGGCCTTCCACCGGTAGCTGGCCACTTTGCTGCCATTCTGCCCTCTGTGGATCGTCTAGCTAGCTAGCTCAATGAATTTTGGCTTCATGGTACCGTACCATGATCGAGACAGAACAGGATCTTTGGCATTTTCACAGCCATGGCATTCCACCGGGTTCCTCCTCCATTCTAAGAATAACAACTACACGTGCCGTGTAGTCTAAGCAAAATGCATGCCCACAGTTCTAGAGCAAGCAACGTGAGCGACAAGAAAAGACAGATTCGCATTGGAATTCTTCCCAGGGTATTCAGAAGCAACAAAACCACCACGCAGTCAGTAACCTCGTACACGGAGTCTCAGGAACTAAATTGACAGCGATGAAGTGCCGAAGCCACAAATAAGTGCTTGGGATTGGCCCTGAAGCACCACGAGCCTCCCGACCCAGCTGCTAGTAGACTTGGGAATGAATGCATGGCTGTATGTATTGTACTAAGCTCGAGCCATTTTGGCTCAGGGAGCGAAGGTCAATTCTACTGTAGCTCTACAGCTCTACCCTGGAAACCTCCTCGACCTCCTCGTCTCCTCCTTCGTTTGAAGTTTTACTTTTGGCCTTGATCATGCACGTGGAAGTCGGACTCTTTGTAGGAGTCTTCGTCAACTACCCTGGTTCCTTGGCTCCTTCGTGCTACCGGTACCATTGTCCAGGAGTATCCCTTTTGATGCTTGGATCCATGCTTTTGACTTTGGTGGGAGTCGGAGTCTTGACTCAGTCCCTTGCGATGACTGATTCCCGCGATTTCCCACCATTTGTAACGGGCCGGCTTCCGTTCATTGGCATTGAAATTTCTGTTGAATTCCGATCAAGCCGGCAAACCCAGAAAGAAGCACATGATGGAAAAATATTTGTGAGCATTCGCCTTCTTTGATGTGCTTCACCTAAATTACTGTAATTTATATTCAATTCAATTCATCATCATTGCCGGTCTTCTGCTCCTTGTTGCTGTAGTACAGTAGTAGTCTCTTCTAAGCTTCCTATCAACGTGGTTGTTGTTGGTGGTGGTCCATCTGCGGATACTGAAAAAGGGCTCGATCAATCATTCAACAGTTCCTTCATCACTTACTTCGCCTCTTAGCCTCCGTCCATCAATCATCCATTGAAGAAGTACAGCCTCTTACAGTTCATCATGTCCACATACCACGGTCTCTGGTAAGTCTGGTCTTTTGTCTCTTTCTAGCTAGACGCTCCTCATCTCATCGCTCCTCACCTCACCTCAACTCTCTTGTACTTTCGTATCATTTTTCTAGTTCCTACCCACACGGCGGTCGTTCCGTGTCATTCTTATGGTTTGCGTTGGTGGGCGCCACGATTTGCACGTGCTACTCGATTTCATCGTGTCGACTGGTCGTCTTGACGTACACTTCCAACCTCGGTCATTTTGAAGATCACTTTGTCAATTTTGATGCACTTTCAGATGAACGCCATACCGTTGGCTTGGGCTTGTTTACGTGGTTGCGGCCCAGTTTTTATGTGGATGGAGATGACGATACCGTGACACGCGCTACGGTCGGCAATTGGAGAGAAGGATCCTGTGTCGGATACAATACACTCCAGTTGGAGGACATTCTCGATCCCACCATGGAAGCCGTCCGGATTCTGGGAGTGGTCAGTATTCTACTGGCATTCTCCGTGTTTCTCTTTAGTCTCATGCTCAGTTGTCTCAGTCTGGCCGCATGGCAACGATACATTCTCTCTGCGGCATGTCTATTTGCCGGCATTGGCAATGGACTCGTCTTGTTGATGCTCAACAGTGATCTCTGCACGTCCATGGGGACTAGTGGCACTTCCTCGTGTGTCATGGATCAAGGAGGACTTGTTTCCATTGCGGCGGTCATTTTGTGGGTCTGTGCCGCATTGCTCACTTATTTCTATATTGAGCCCGTACGAGATCCCGGAATGCACGACAAGATGGTCTCGCAGCGTCAATCGCAGAAACGAAAAGCCAGTCTACAACAAATCCGAAAGGAAAACAAAACAGACTGGAACAACAATAGCAGCAGTCACAGTGGCAAGAGCAAACGACAATCCAGCAAGAAGAGTGACAACAAGAAAAAACAAACGGACAAGAAACCAAAAATGTACGCCTCCTTTTCCCTCCCCAAACAACAACGGGCATTGGCAGATCGAGACGATGGTGACGAGGACGATCAAAATTCACAGTCCGATGCCGCACAAAAGAAACAAAAACCACGACACAACTCGGCTCCTCCCAAGGTTTCTGCGCCGATTATGCTAACACAAGCACGTACTGCCGCCACCAACAAGAGTTTGGAAACCAAGTACATTCCACGAACGCAGTCGGCCCAATACGGAACCTACGATTACGCTCCCGTCGATCCACCGGCACATCATTCGGCAGGACCACAGGATCATCCTCGCTATTACAGTAGCAGTCTGCCGCCAAACAAATCCAACGATCTCAGTGCCGCCGAACAAGATGCCATTATTCGGGGTGTCTCCCAAAAACTGGCCGATCCACACAGTTTGAATCGAGAAGAATCGCGATCCATGCTCTCCTCCTTGACATCACCATCGTTTGCTCCAGCACCACCGAAACAACAACAACGACAAATTACACTCAATGGTGTCCTGGCCGATGATTTGGCCACAAAACCAAAGAATGATGCACTCTGTTGTGGTGTTGGAGTCTAACGAGTCTAGCAAACGCAGCAAGCGAAGCGAACGCAACAGCAACACTTTGGGAATGGGATTTCGTAGTACACTTATGATGCAGTATATGAACGTGTGTCAGGATCCGCTATAGCTACTGGGAGTGCCAAACAAACGCTCGAGCGAGCGAGTGAGTGGATGGCAAGGAGCTGGATCTGCTCGTGACGATTGGTCCACCTACGTATTCCGTACCGTACTGGTTGGTACAGTAGAGTTTGATTCCCTGCTGGATGAATGGATGGATGGCTAGAAAAGATGGTGGCAAAACAACTAACTAGCTAACTGTATAGAAAGGGACTGATCATCCTGCTATGTTCACCACGAGCGAGCTTGGCAACAGTACCACTACCGGTACCGGTACTGTAAACAGCCGACTCGGAGGAATGGAATGTTCGGAGTGCTGGCAATCCAAAAGTCGAGGCTGTCGTAGCTTGCTCCGGAGTAGAAATCGCCTTGGAGGTCGTCAGTTTAGTTTACATGCACGGAAGCTTTCACGCTGAAGCAGGGAAAACAGCAACTGGTTGGTCCTTGCTACAAGACAACACCCTCCATTTTGGTTCATCCTTGACGATCTTTCCGAACAAGGTGCTTCCACGTACAATCTTACCGGTACGGTAGAGCTGGGCACCCCTCAAAGAACGACGTGTAGCCAGCTCCTTCATTCAAGCTACTCCAGTTTTTGGGCCAGCCTACATGTTATGTTGGGTGGGAAGCAAGAATAGTTTCTACGACAACTTTATCTTCCATCAAGATTCGATTCTTGCAGCTCGCTAGTAACTCCCATGGTACATACAAGCATTCTCCAAATCCTCTTGGGTTGATTGCTTCATTCAGATTGCACTACTGATGGTTTTGCAACGCATCCTCTCATGGGGATACTCTGAAAGTGGTCTCCATAAAAAGTGAGGCTTCAAATGGCACTGCAGCAATCAACGACAATGAGCCAGTACTTCAGATGCTGGTTATTCTGGACAAGACCATTGTACTTTCAGGGCAAGACACATTCGGCTATCAAATTTGTGATTGGCGGAACTGATGAAGCCATGGTTACAGTCATGGAATCCCCCAGCTGCTGAGGATGACACTCAATCACAAATGAATACATCCCAGTTGTGATCAATGTACTGGATAGTGACCCTGAGGGTGACACACTTACTGTTGGATGCCTTGATGGCTCTTGGCCTGCATCAGATGGCACCATGGAAGTCAATGACGGCACCTACACTCCCAATGTTGGCTTTCAAGGGCAGGACTCCTTGTCCTATGACATTGCTGATGGTCATCGGCATGATGCTTCAGCTAGGGTAACAGTCACAGTGAATTCAGTCAGTGGATCATTCCCCAGTTGCAGTGGATGATACCGCAGAGACAAATGAAGGCACTTCTGCTGTCCGTGGACACATTGAATGTTACCTCCTTATCACACTACCTGGACAAGGAGTTGTGGTGAACACTGGGAATGGAACTCTCACATATACTCTCAATGCTGGCTTCATAGAGCAGGACTCCTTCTCCTATTACATTACCGATTGTCATGGGAACAATACATCAGCTAGGGCAACAGTCACAGTTGATGTCGCAACTGAAGACCCAAGGAAGGACCCCCCCAATAGACCCAGAAACACTGCCCCAGTTGCTCAGGATGATAGTGAGATATGAAAAAGCCCTGATTGAAACTGGTGTGGTGGCCAATGAGAGTGGTGCTGATGGTGACACACAATGACATTGGCACCATAACAAAGTTAGCCATCAGGGGGGATGCAGAAAACAATGGAAATGGTGTCATTATCTCTCTACACTGCTGGTCCAAATAATATGGCCTAGACGCTTTCGACCTCGTGCCGGAGTGGAACCTGTTGCTTTCCTGCTTTCCTTCCATGCATGCTTGTGTGGCCTTGCTGAGTACCTGGTAGAGTTTATGAGTTCGTGGTTTGGGGTTGCGGAGCGGTTTTGGTACGGTGCGGGTGGTTGTGCTACAGTACTCCAGTACCTGGTACCAGTACAATGAAATCACAGTGGGTTCACCTGCTGCCACGCATGAATGCGAATAATTTCATAAAGCCTTATTTTAAAAAAGAGGAGGCCCTCATGATTTGAAGGATTCACCTCTTCGAATGTCGGATCGAAAGTCTGGATGAATTTTGTGATTTAGCGACCATCACACACTAGATTTACCACTAGATTTCGTTTAAGGCTTATGCTGCCATTCATGTCGTATGAGATTTAACGATTTAACCAAAACGGAGTAGGAGGGTACCGTACCATATGTCTCTGGAGTGAACGTGAAGTGCAATCACAATGTACCATTAATGGAGCAGTCGAGCAGTCTACTGGTAAAATCAACAAGTCTGCAAGAGCTTTGCATGACTGCAGATCACAGATCACTTACTTGTAGCCCGCAAACCGAAAGAGCGGAAGAGCCAAAAACCACAAGCTAGCTAGCATTGGTAGACTACTCTTGTAACCAAAGAAGACTCCATGAGTTTTCCAATCGCACCAATCTCCTCGAGAAAAAGAGTGGAACGAGCCACCAACCTTGCAAAAACTGGTTTCGCACCTCCTCTGAATACAATCTAACGCTAGAGCTTTAGAACATAGTTCCCTCCAATCAATCAAAGCAACTACTGGAACCAGAAGATCCACCCGGATAATCAACGGTGCGTACTATAGTACACTTCATAATGCAATTTCCTGGGCCAGACCACTGCGATCAAATCGAGTTGAACCATCGTCGCAACGACGAAGAAACGCTGGTTTCCTCTGTCACAGGTTTTTCTGTGGGCCTTTACCCACTTTCAGGAAGACTCATTCCCTCGTTAGATCATCCGATAGACACCCAAAGTTCCGCCCTGGAGCAGGTTCAACCAGGATGGAATGGAGCAGGCGCGACCGCTGGCAATTGCAACGTCGCAAACAACGACGACCTGGCCAAGTCGGAATATGATGTTGAGCAAGCTTCGGAAGTAGACTATTCCATTGTTGACCATCTGGTCAAACGCGGGGTGATCGCACTTGAAGCAAACCAAGAGGTACACGACGGAGACAAATGCACCACCAGCAAACAAACCCACCGAACACAACACAGCTTGAAAGATGGCAGCAGCAAAGGATACGAGGATGTCTTCCAGACAAGAAGAACTCAGCAGCATGGAGCAGAAAGTCACCTCGTTGAAGCGTGGAACTCTGTTGCTGGTACCTTCGAGAACTCGAACAGAGGCGTGTGCTCGGAACACAAGGCCGGAGCAAACGAACTAGGAAACGGAGCAAACGAACTAGGAAACGTCACCATCCCTCCTCGTAGCGGCCTTCCCGGAGCTTACGCAGAAGGGGGAATTGGCGTGCATCGTGATCACTTGGAGTTTGAAGAAAGGAACGGCAATCCAGCTGTAGATCAATCCCACGACGCAGCTACGTTGCCAAATGCCGTACCGGTAGAAGACAATCTTGAGGTGGCAAAGGAGTTTCGTGTGGAGAGTGCAAGTGAACCCAGGGGAAAGAGGCACAGCTGTGTCATTGTTTTGTTGCTTTGGTTGTCCCTCCTGCTTGTTGCAATACTACTTCCAATGAAGTTGCTTGATCCGAAGTCCTCTACAAAAGTAGAAGACGACGAAGAGACTTCAGCAGAGCCTCCCGGTTCAAATTCCAATACAACCTTCATCATTGACCTACCAAGCTACACTCGACAAGCCATAATGGATGACAACCAATCACCACAAGCAAAGGCATACACCTGGCTACTTGATGATCCCTACTTGTTGGACTATACAAATGACCGGAAAGTACAGCGCTTTGCTCTTGCTACTCTGTTCTATGCAACCAATGGGCCCTATTGGACTGCTAGCCAGCACTGGTTAGACTATGAGAAAAACGAATGCCAGTGGTGGAATTTGGCAAAGCTTCCTCCCTTGGGTGCTGATGCCTGCACTGGTGGAGACAATTTCAATGCTCTTGCTCTTGCAGGAAATCAAATGCAAGGAAGCATCCCGAGGGAAGTGGGTTTGCTATCAACGCTGAGAGCTCTTGTGCTAGGAGACCAAGACAATCTTGTTGGTTCTATTCCCATGGAACTTTGGAAACTCTCAGGCCTTGCTGTTCTTTCATTGCACCGAAACAAACTGACAGGCACGCTTCCATCAAAAGGACTCCTTGCCTCTCATGAAGCAATGGTATACATGTACTTGGCTGGCAATCAGTTAATTGGAACAATCCCCACTGAGATTGGTCTGTTCCAAAACCTAACGCTCCTTGGGTTGGGTGACAACCAATTCACAGGAACCTTGCCAAGTGCAATGGAATCCATGGCCAGGTTGGAGTACATTGGTGCCCAGGCAAATGCCCTCACCGGCACTCTCCATCCCACTTTGTTTGCAGGATGGAGTAGCATGACCCATATCGTACTTCGTGAAAATCTCCTTTCAGGAACACTCGCCACTGAGATTGGATTGCAGGCAAATCTTGAGTTCCAAGAACCACTGCTCCATTTGGACATCTCAAGAAACCATTTAGCTGGTAGCATCCCCAGGGAGGTTTGGCACCTTCATGGATTGGAGAGTTTGCGAGCAAATTCCAATGCGTTCACTGGATCTATCCCATCTGATTGCGGAGACACCATGGGGAGCTCAATTTGGGGCTTCAACGTTTTTGATAACCAGGTATGATGGTACACTGAGGATGTTGCTGTGATTGGATCATGTTGTCCGTGTCCTCACTGCCCTTTCCCTATATTGTTTCTTCAGATGACTGGAACAATCCCTTCGTCTATTGGGCTTTGGACAAACTTGGAAGAGTTTTTGATACATGGAAATACCTTCGAGGGAAGTCTCCCTCAAGAGCTCTGGGAGATCACATCTCTTCAGAAAGTGGGTATTGGTGGGAACTTGATCGGGTTTATTCCGGAGATTCTTCCAGATTTGGTGTGGTTGGAGCTTCTGTCACCTCTCCTTAGTGGTGTCATTCCAAGCAACGTGTGCACCAAGCCTGACATGATACTCCTGAAGTTGAATTGTTCAGAAACTCTTTGCGGGTGTGACTGTAGTTGCAACGGCACCATGGAGGTTTGAGCCGCACGGCAAACCAAAAGGAGCGCGATCGTTCATGCACTGTATAAACTTGTGAAAGCAGCGCTTCAGAATTGAAATGGCGTGGTACTGGTAGTCTCAAGTTGAGACAATTGTGGAAAGGCGGGCTGGGCTAGAGAAACCACTGGTACGCAGGAAGGTACCTTTCCTGTTGCCTCTTTTCGAGACGGGTTCTTTCCTGTTGCCTGTGACCTGTGACCCCTAGCTAGAGATTCAGTTGGCGAGCGCTTTGGCTTCATCATGGTGTTGCGAGCCCTACATATGCACACATGATTCTACACATGTTCCGAGATCTATCGAGACGAAGATGTGCACTGCCTTGATGAAGATCTCAAGCCATAGGAAGCCTCAGTGGCCTCAATATGTAACATCATCTATCCTAACTAGTTGCCGCCCTCTTCCGGCAGCGTTTGCCTTCAAGTGGATCAACATTAGAGATTCATCAAGTCTTATCCTTGTCACATTCGTGCTCTATTTATGTGTTCAGGTCGGGTTTACTATGGATTAGAGAGAGCTAAGATGAGGATGGGGACAGAGCTCGAGGGGAGGGCACGATGTTCTATTTATCGATAGTAACTTCGCCTTGGGTGATTTCTGCATGTTTGGCGGGTACCGGTACACGTGTACGACCGCACCGGTGTAACTGGCGGGTTGGCTGGTTCGACGGTCACTCCCGTGAACGAGCACTGGCCGCGGCGAGGAAAAATCCAAAGATTTATCCCTCACATTTTTCGCAATTGGCCTTTCGCCAACTAGTAGCCTTTGACCCGGACTGTCGTACAAGTGAATACAATTTGGAGAACCATGAAGACCTTTCCGAACTCAATTCGCGTCTCCTCTTTCTCTTACCTCCTGCTATTGATTGTCTCATGGGTCTTTGCCAAGCGGGTTGGGGCAAGGAACGTCCATCATGCTGTGGAACATCAAAGCGATCGAATTGCAGCAAACATCTGTAGGCTGTGCAAAAATGGAAATGTACCACCCGACTCTGCCAACATCTGTGATACCCTCTGCCCAACCTACAATAGAATCGTTGGAAACGACGCCAATCAGGACACGCAACCCACACTGGAAGCACCGGTATTCAAATGTAATACCAGCCGTGAAGGCTGTACCACAAAGAAGGAATCTCCGCTGATACCGACAAAGAATGCTGACCCACCAGGGGCCACCTGGGGTACACAGTTCAACACATGGTCTGACCACCTGTTTGAGTTCCAAGGAGCTTGTGACCTTGTGCTGTTGCAACACCCCAACTATGCCAAAGACCTTGGCCTGGACATTCACATTCGCACAACCAACTCATTACGGCATTCCTTCATTGAGAGCGCTGCCCTGAGAATTGGTAGTGATGTTCTGCAAATAAGCGGGTGGGGTGAGTATGTCTTTCGTGGAGTTAGAAATACTCCATTCCCCGCCATGATGGGTGATGTTGGCATTGTGAGCCATCAACAGCGAAGCACGAAGACGCATGTTTTCGAGGTTGAGTTAGACAAGACTACCAAGATTGTTTTTGATACCTTCATGGATATGGTCTCTGTATCCGTGATTGCCAACAACAGCGCGGAAGACTTTAGTGGTAGCGTTGGGTTGCTCGGTGCGAATGGCACTGGTCGAATGCTGGCCAGAGACGGCACGACTCTGTTGGAAAATGATGTCACTGGGTTTGGTCAGGAGTGGCAAGTTAGAGACTCGGATCACAAACTCTTTCAGGTTGTGGATCGTTTTCCTCAACATCCGGACGCGTGTGTGATGCCTACTATGACTACTGCAAGCGAACGGAGAAGACTTGGCGAATGGATGATATCGAAGGAGGACGCTCGAGAAGTGTGCGCCATGTGGAAGCACAAAAGAGACATGACGGCCTGCATGTACGACGTAATGTTCACGGGGAACTTGGCGAGTGCCCTTACTGGGGTGTTTTGAGGAATCAACCAACCAACTTCATTTGTCCATTGGCTCGTTTACATCTTTGTCAATGCTCACGTACTTGAGTACAACGCGGACACTACGAGTTTGGTAGCAGCACAGCCAACCGTTACTATCGGCAGTACCCTGTTATCCATTGGGGAGCAATTGATCCTTCCAATCGAAGCGAAGGGCTGACCTCTTGGTGTAGCTACTAGCCAACAGAGAGCCGGATACAGAAGCTTGTTTGGACTCGGATCGAAGATTTGATTCCGCTCTGTGCTTTTGGGCGTCTCCAACAATAGTACTGCCATTCTAAGCTTGTAAGACGGCTCCGATGTCGATTATGCCACTGATAAATTGGCTCAACATGCTTTACAAGAACTTCGACAAGGAAGCTACCGGTTCCAGTCCTCGTGAATTCATCTTGGAATCAAACTACAATAGATAACTTCCCAACTCTGGCACATACGAAAGCCCAAAACGACTATACCTCCGTGACAAAAATTAGTTAAATTTCAACCCAGCCGAGCTGTGTACCGGTACCTCCAGCTCCAGATTTGATTCATTATTCGATTCGTGCGAAGGAAGCAAATCGAAGCCCAAAGAAACTGCTGCCAACCTCAACCAACAGGACTTCGTCGTCATCCCAATTCCCACAACCCGCTTTGTGCGAGACCAACACAACAATAACCCAACCAAAGAAGATAAAGTAATAGACAGCAATGGCAAGCAAGAAAGCAGCAGTCGAATTGGCATCCAGGTTACGACCCCGTTTCATGGCATCAGGACGACAACCTTTGCTTCGCCAGAGTCGATTTTCCCAAGTCACGCATCATCAGCAACCATTTCAGCAACAACAATAAATAAATAAATAAATACAACGACAGATTCATTTTTTGCCCTTTTTAGGACTCTGGGGCGCCAAGCACTTGTCAGCGTGGACACTCTACAACGCGGGACGCAACTATGGCTGGCCTCGAGTATACCGTCGTCTCTTGGAACACAATCGACGTTTCAATGGAGCCAATCCTGCCCTACAAAAGCAGACTCAACAACTGATTCGGCTGGGATTGGAAGCGCCCGTGCAATTTGCTGCGCAAATAGCCGCACAAGCACAAATCATCATGCCCTTTTTGAACAAGCTGGTGGAACGAGCCACTCCCAATGTACCGTCCTTCTTGGTGGCCATGGCCAAATACATAGTCAACTCGCAGAAACCAGTCAAGATTATGCAAGACTTGGCGTCGTCCGCAGCCAAAAGAGCACCCAGCAAGTAAACAATAGATAGCTAGCACTGAGAGACTATCTACCTGGAGGAAATCAATCGTGTGTGTGACAGAACAGGCAGACAATCCGCCCACGTATAAGCAACGAAATCAATTTGCTCAACCTTGTGTTGACGACGAAATATTCTAGCTCTGTGTGTTAAGCTCAGTTCTTTTCTCCTCTCCACGTCAGTCAATACGTCGTGTGTCTGTTCAAGGTGTGGTTTTGTGAAAGGCAGCCAGCATTCTTCTAGGTTTCACACGGTGGCTAGAGTATGAAACCTCAACACTCCTCAAGTATTCCCCACCACAGTCCCTCTCGAATCTTGAGAAGGTGCTTCGGCCTTGAGTGGACACAACTCTTTTGAATATCTTCCTTCCCGGATCCCAAGAAAGCCAAGGTGCTAGCCAGCAGAATCTTTCCCTTATATTCAACATGCAAACCTATAGCAAAAATGTGGAACCGCGCTGCCCGGAAGATTGCATAAGCAAGCAAACAGTTATGGCCACAGCGTACAGCTAAGCAGGAATGATCCCCGAGAGTAGCCGGTTGCTTGTAAGATCAATGGAGACCCACATTCCCTTTCAAGGCATTGCCATTCGCCGCCAACCTCTGAAAGGACCGGCTTTGTAGTGACGCAGACCAAGCTAGCTACTAGCTAGTATTACTCTTTAAGTTTCAGTAGCACTGGTGCGAACGAATGGGTCTAATAATCTCATCTATGACCAAACTAACCTCAACTATTGAGAGTGGACAAGGCAATATACGACTCCAGTTTGGAGCGACCGGAGGACCCTTTTCGTTTCCACAGGACAAAGCCTATTACATTCGCAACCACGAGAACAACCAGCACTCCAACCGTGCTGGATGTTTTTGGCTTTGGCATTTCGGGACAGGAGCTGCCGTATCGTGCCACCTTCCAAGATTTCTGACATTTGAGTGGTCCCACAGTGCTAGTGTCAAACTGGACACAACCTCCAGTGCCTTCCTCCATGGGAAGACCATTTTCAAAAATGGCGGCTTGATAGGTATGTACCACATCTCCGGCTCCAGCCGTCATGGGTTCAAATTTTTCCACACTTCCCTTGGCGGCGTAATGAATATAACTGGGGTGTTCACCTCCACAGGGGGCATCTGGATCCCAGACCACAATGGGGTCTACTTCTGACCCTGACACGAAGGCAAGGACTCCCTTTTCTGACGACTGGAAGCATTCCGTATTGTCACCCTCAATCACTAGTCCATTGATGATAATATCATAGGGACATTCGGCTTGGCTCCCATGTGCACCTATGGGCCCAAATCTCAGGATGTTGGCGGAAAGAAGAAGGAATCCGAAAAGAGATGCTGCCATGATTGCCTCGATTGAAACTTGAAGTGGGCTATTATCGGTAGTGAAGGATCGATCAGGCAGTTTTAAAAACAAACTAGCTAGACGACGAAGCTCAAAGGAAGAAAACCTTTTGTTGCGGGAGCGAGACAGTTTGCCACTTGTTGTGTACAAGATGGAAGAGGACTACCATGGATGTTCCGCTGTTGGCGTTGTGAGTTTGTGTTGGGCTTCTTGAGACTGTTGGATCTTTGGCTGAAATTTACCCCTATCCCTACCTCTCTTAGAAGTGCATGACATAGCTCTAACCCTAATTCTGATACAGTTTCTGTGACATGAGCTGCTCGAAACTGTTAATTCGGCTTTTTTTCAGCGTTCGTCTCCTGTTTCCTCAGATTGCTCGCTACTTGGATCCATATGACGAATACATGCACAACCGAATATTGTCAATCCAGCCATTGTAGTCAGTTACCGTAGAGTTACATCGATCCGCGACAGTGGCAACAGTACCGAACACACTCAGGTTCCGCTTTACTGGCTACACTCCGTTACCGGTACCTTGCATTGGATCCTTATGACGAATACATGCACAAACGAACATTGTCAATCCAGCCATCGCAGCCAGCTACCCAGCCATCGCAGCCAGCTACCGTAGAGTTCATCGATCAGTGACAGCCACAACAGTACCGAACACACTCAGGTTCGACTTTGCTCACTGCACTCGGTTACCTCGCATTGGATCCTTATGACGAATAATATTGTCAATCCAGCCATTGTAGCTCGCTACCATACAGGCACATCGGCGATAATGGCAACAGTACCGAACACACTTAGGTTCCGCTTTACTTGCTACAGTCCATTACTGATACCTTGCAATGGATCCTTATGACGAATACATGCACAACTGAACATTGTCAATCTAGCCATCGTAGCTAGCTACCGTAGAGTTCATGGATCGGTGACAGTGGCAACAGTACCGAACACACTCAGGTTCGGCTTTGCTCGCTGCACTCGGTTACCTCGCATTGGATCCTTATGACGAATACATGCACAACCGAACATTATGAATCCAATCATTGTAGCCGGCTGCGGTATAGCTACATCGACGACAGTGGCAACAGTACCAAAAGTTCGGCTTTGCTCGCTACGGTTACCGGTACCTCGCATTGGATCCTTATGACGAATACATGCACAACCGAATATTGTCAATCCAGCCATTGTAGCCAGTTACCGTAGAGTTACATCGATCCGTGACAGTGCCAACAGTACCGAACACACTCAGGTTCCGCTTTACTAGCTACACGCCGTTATCGGTACCTTGCATTGGATCCTTATGACGAATACATGCACAACCAAACATTGTCAATCCAGCCATCATAGCCAGCTATCGTATAGCTACTGGCAACAGTACTTGACATGCGCATACAGGAAAACGGGTACCGACACAGGAATCACCACCAAAACAATATGAAATAACAAGAAGGGATGAATCCGGTAGGAGGATCCACTCTCTTGTGTGTTGTTGCCTCTTTCGGTGGCTGTTGCCTTTCAATGACTCGACGACGATAGGCTCCTCTGTTCAGGCTGTTGGTAGGGCTGGAGTTAATAGAACCCCTCCTCCATAGCGGTAGCCTCTCATCTTCTTGTTATCCGGAGCGGTCGATCGAAAAGGACTCGACAATGGTAGTTCGCCGGCCGTCGGCAGTGCAGCAGAGAAAACAACAAATAGACATGGGTTTTGTTTTCTGTGCTGAACTGAAGAAAACCAGCGACTTACCCTTGCTTTTCAAATTGCACCAACTTGGCCATCATGGGCCGAGAACTGACTGCCTTCCCGCGGTCTATAGGATTGAATGAGGGATGGCTTTCGCTTCTACACCGGAGACGACCGGCTTGAGTGAGGCTTGGATAACAGAGATCGATCGAGACGAATAATTAAAACAACTCACCTGATGACGGCCGAGCTCGGAATTCTCTCCTGAATACCATAGAAATTCAATGAGGGAGAGAATTCAGCGCTGTACCTTCAATTAACACTCTTGATAATAGGCTTACCTCGAATCGATTGATTCGATCGATCGGCCGATTGGATAAAGCACTCACCATTGTTGTCGGCCAAGCTTGGATTTACCTCCTGTTTACCATAGGAATTGAATGAGGGAGAGAAGTCAGTGCTGCGCCTTCAATAATAACACACTTTTATTCCACGAATCAATCTAAAAATTTCGAAAGGGAACTTGTTACTTAACGATACACATGACCGTTGATTCTGCAACTGAAGTGCGGGTACACTAATTTACACAGTAAACGCGAGCCAATCGATTTCAGAGTGCAACTGAGGGGGTAACCAAAAGGTGCGCCGTCTCAAGGAGACGGAATACTAGCTAGCTAGCTAGATCTGGTAGCACAACGCTGTACCGGTACTGTACCATAGGTACCGTTTTACTAATAGTGGAGACTCTGTTGGCCATCTCACCCTCTCCTCGGTGGATGCAAAAGCATCATGAAAGCAGGCAAACCGACACAGCGGCCTTTTCAGTGAGGCTTCGCATCTACCGGTATCAGTGGTACCGGTACAGCGGTGGAGCCCAGGGACAAGCCACAGGCGCACATCGGCCTTTTCAGTGATGGAACAGGTACCCTTCGCATCTATCAGTGGTACAGCGGTTGAGCCCAGGGACAAGCCGTCCCTATGGCGCCACCACAGAAAGCTCGAACACTCATTCCTAAACCATACCGGTACTGGTACAGCACACGACCAGCTCCGACGAGATCCACCAGGTTTGACTGTCAGCACTCCTCCCCTTGGACTCTTGCTTTGTCGGTCTTGGCAAGAGCTCGCGAGGCGAACCGAGCCTACCAAATGGTGTCGACTCAGATACAAGAAGGCATCATGTGGATACCAGCTAATGAGGCCTCACTGTGGCTACGGTTGCCAGTAAAGCTCCTGACTCCTCTTTGACCCGCAGGGAAAGAAACCCTGCCAAGGGACTCACTCCGGTAAGCCACCCAGCCAAGTCTTCCTTGCACGTGGCTTTCAGCAGCTCTTTCAGCAATGTCGTTGGATAAGGGAGTACGATCAGCTGTCTGTCTGGTACTAGTACGTGTATTAATACGATACGGGCGGTTGCCAGTCTAATGTCCGCACAAGGGTTGTCTTGATGGAAAAATCATGAGTCATGACTTGAGTAGGAAGGGCCTGACCGGTACTCAACTTCCAAGGCCTTTTCATTTCGGGCTTTGACTCAAGAGAGAACTCAAGTCAGCGCCAAGACTTGACTCAAGTCAAGGGGCTGAAAGCAAAATCTTGGGTCATGTCTTGACGCTGACTTGAGTTCTCTCTTGAGTCAAACCAAGATGCCACGTCATCAGGCCTTTTCCAAAAGCTCAACTCAAGTCATGACTCAAGATTTTCCATCAAGACAACCCTTGTGCGGACATACGAGTGTGATACATGACAATGTAACAATGTCATGTAGGCTGATACAAAAGTACCAGTGGCGTTTCATCGAGTGACTTTGCATGAACACTTTCGAAAGCAATTCTAAAGGATTCGATTGGATTTGGTACAGTACCAGTACCAGTACTGTAAACATCTGCTGGAGTAAATAATGACATTGTATTGGTGAACTGGGACATCTCGGTTGCTGTTCGACACAGAAAAGTTACCGGTAGGAATTATGGAGTTATTGATACTAGATAGGCCGATTCGATTCATCCGTTCATTCGGCATCTATTAATTAAAATACTACTGTACTTGACTCGAGTACCGGTACATCCTCTCTGGTGGTATTGTACTACTAGCTCTAGTAGCTGGAGCAGAACAGCTAGCAAAACTCGAGTAGTCAGTAGTTGACTACGTGTACGCTAGTCAAATACTGGTACCAAACTTCTTACTCGCGTACCTGTTCTATTTGGTGACGAAGCGTTTTTGATACAATTGGCACAAGCTCGGACACAAAAATCTTGTGACACTGTGGGTTTTAATAGATTTGTTTTGTGTCCATGCGACCATGCGGCCACTGTTAGCAACCAGATCCCGGTGAACTGGAATCTTGGTTAGAAGAGGAGTATAGAGGGCTCGAAGGAATTAGTATTTTTGTCACCGGCACCAAACCTCTTACGGTACCACAGTTGCAGAACAAGTTTTTATTCCCGTCAAACTGTCCACGACATCCCAACTCATGGCCACTCTTGGGAGAGGTTTAAAGGACTTGGCTTCTTTAAAACAATTTCAGCAAACAGGATCAGCCTTGGTAAGATTCATAATCTCAGGCTTCAAGTTTGAGGAAAAGGCAAGCTTCCAATAATTAGATTTGGTCATTATTCATGGATAAAATGAGAAGAGCTTTGGAAGGTCCACGATGAAGGACGGTAGCCGCGACACAACCTGAAAGAAAGGTTGTTCTCTACTAGCTGGACTTCAGGTAAGATCTTCGTCGTCACTTTCAGCTTCTCAATGCCAGCTGATCGTTGCTGGATCATGTTTGCAAAAGGGGGCTAAATTGGTTGTGTGTATGGACGTCCTTTTGGACCCCCTCAATGGCTTCCAAATTATGACATGGTTGAGTGCTGTTGGCTTGATCAGAGGGTACATCGTACGCTGTACTGTACTGTAGCTGCAGCATCATTCTAAAATAATGGCATCATTGGAGTTTCATTTAGTTAGTGCATCTTTTTTCAATGATGCACCTGCTGTATTGTCTGTATCCTCCTGCTTGTTCATCCTTTTTCTTTCATCTTGGTATGCATGAAGGCAGTTCATGATTGGAGATGGCGTTACCGTACTACTCAGAGTAGAGGTTTAGTTGAGTATCACATCCTAATGATCCAGTGATGCTACCAACACAATTCCCATGATGCTCTGATGTTGCCATCATTCCGAGACGCCTCTGTGAGCTCCTCAGTGTCACATTGAGGATACAGACCCCCATGACCCCATTACAAAACTAGAGTATCTCTAAAGCCCACATGAGATCCATCCCCTTATTTTTTGACCATTACTTACTTGCATACATCAATCGGATGCTGCAAGCAACTGCGCTACATGTACTTGCTTCTCAGGTGTCCTTCTCTTTCAATCAGTGGTCATTTCGTGTTCTGAAAATTCGGGTTAATGATTTATTTTCTGTGGAAGCATCAGTACCTGTTCCAGTTCAAGATTCAGGAACATAAGGCGCTGTTACTCTCAAATGTCAGTAGCCGGAATTGATTTGGAAAGTCGATCGATGAATTGCCTTAGTGGGTCCCTATCACACGGGAGAACAAACCGCCAGGATACTGTAGCTGAGAGGCTTCACTTTTTTTAGGGCCATCAAAGCAAGTGGTTATTTTTACCTAGCCAGCAGCCGAAAACACTTTTGATTGCTTGCAGGAAGGAGGAAATCACGCGACTAGCTAGCTAGCTGCGACCAACCTGCAAGATACCCCGGGCACTTTAGTGGCTAACCGACACGAGCAAAACGCCGAAGAGCCCACATCTATCTCACAACTTTTGTGTTCTCACAATCTCAACGACTACAACTACTACACAACATTCAATTCAATCAACCAAAAAGTCAAGCACCATGATTCCCAATTTCTCCGTTCCTTCTCCCGGTCTGAGCCGCGATGTTTCCGGCGGCAGCACCATCTCCACCGGCAACAGCAAGCGTCGCAGCAGTGGCACCTTTAAAAAGTTGAGTTTCAACAAGAAGAATCTCTGTTCGGTTTCCTTTGGCGGTGTGGAGCAACGCGAGATTGCCCACATTCCCTACGAGTGCGCCTACGATGTCTACTACACCGCCTTGGAACTCAAGGAACTGCGCCGAGAAGAAGTGATTGCCGTCCGTCGTGCCATGGCCAACAGTGACGACGGTCAAGACATGGAAAGCGACGAACTCACATGGCGTGGCATTGAAGACTTTCGCGATGGGACCAACAAGATGGAACGGTCCATGATGCATACCCTCAATGTCTTGAAGGAATTCCACACCCAACAGAATTCGGGATTCTCGGATACCCATCAACTCCGACAAATCAGCAAGCAACTCTCCCGACAAGATCGTCAAAACGCGCAAAACAGAGGCGCCAGCGATGCGCAAGCCGTCGGATACAAGGTCAAGCGATCGTCCTCGATGGCCTCGTTCAAGACAAAGCTGCAAGCACCCTTCTCTGCCCTCCTCAATAAGGGACAGGCATCTGTCTCCTTCAAAGTCAACATGGCTCCTCCTGCTTGCTAGATCATACCATGCTCCTTCTTTCCTCCTTCCTTCTATACTGACAATTCCAATATAGAGATTCGATTCATGTACATTTTAAAATAATACCACACTGTACAGTATCTAAAGATCAAACCTGCAGACAAACCAAACTACTTCTACATGTATGTAACGATAACAAGTATGTAGCTAGCTAGCTATGACATGACTTGACATAGCTACCTGTAGCTGAATGACCTGCATTCCAAAGACGTGTAAACTTTCATCATCTCCTGCACAACTGCTGCCCTGCATACGGTACCATATTGAGTTCCATACGGTATTCCCAGATCCCAGGGTGTCATTCCGCACCGCCCTGGTCGAACCGTTCCCAATGAGTCAGTCACGAATACCTTACACCAGCAACACAACAGAACTAGCCACTAGCCACTAGCTAGCTAGGGTACTGTAGGTTGCTGGTCACTGTAGTTGACTGGGAAGCTTCAGGGCAGCTGGGAAGCTAGCTGGGAAGCGACGGAAGGCCTCGTGTAATTGGGTGTAGTTTCCCAGCCAGATGATAACCCGTTGGCACGAACACAAAGGCTCGATTTTGGAACCAGGGAAGGCCACAGCTTTTGGAACCAGGGAAGGCCACAACTTACTTGGGTCAGCTAAACCAGCCAGAATAGAAGATAGTGGCCAGGAATGATGACCACAAAGCAAGTGAGGATACCAGCCATCACCGCCAAACAGCCAAGCTATGCTTGACTCGACTAAGTCACTCGATCGAGGTTCCTGGTGTGCAAGGAGGGATACAGTAGGTCCGGGAATTGGTACAGGAGTGGCACCTTGCTGGACGATGCGGCAATCAATCACTCAATCACTGGTTGTGAGGGGAGACCGTTTTGGAGATTATCAAAATTTAGGAGATCAAATGTTCAAATTAGGAGACTGTTTAGGAGATTATCAAAATTTAGGAGACCGTTTTGGAGACCAAAGTCAAAATTAGGAGATTCACCAGTGTGTTTGTTAGTTAAAATAGAAGATTGAATAGGAGATCAAAATTCAAATTAGGAGACTGTTTAGGAGATTATCAAAATTTAGGAGAATATAATTTGAAATTAGGAGACCGTTTTGGAGATTATCAAAATTTAGGAGACTGTTCCCCACATTTTACCTTTTTGCCGCATCGTCCTGGTCTACACGGGGGGTGGCTGGCGTGTGCCCTGGAGTGGGTTCACACATCCTTCTTGGAGCAAGTGAAGCAAGATAGTTTTTTCATGATGTATGTTGAATCAATGAAAGCTACGGCATGGGAAACTTTGGTAGATGGATCATGGTCGTGCATTGATTCCCTACCACGGGTTGGTCTCAACACTCCTTTCCTCTTTTAGCTGGTCATGTGTGGTGGTCACTCAGCAGTGTAGGAAGCAATGCTTGCTCCACTACGTTAGAAGGAGAAGACTACTTGATGCATGGCACCTCGAAAGAATCCATCTTGCTTTGATGATGTACATATAGATATGCAGGTTTTACTTTAGTCAAAAGTGACGAAGCTGTAGCTGCATCAAACCTCCACTTCCTCGCCAAAAGGCACTCCCTCCTCCAGTAGTGCTGGCATTGGGGGCTGGGTTTCTTCCCCTTTCACGCCATACTTGGATCTGGCCAGATCTACCATTTCTGCTACAGCCTTCTCCCCATTGGCTACCCACTCCCTCTTGTTCTTCAAAGCATAGTCTAGGTATTCACCAGAGCTGACTCCAAATACTCCACATTCCTTGAGCTTCTCTGTCAATGGAATGACTACAATAAGAAGCAAAGCTCAAAGTGAGAGACTGCAGGAAACGAAAGTAAGACCTCCCCGTGAACAACGCAACGCGACGTACTGTAGAAGTCAAAGAAACCAATTTCGCCCTTGAACCAAAATTCGGCTGGGTCCTTCTCCATTCGCCCGTTCAAGTAGGCAACATAAAGTTCTTCAAATAGGTTCTGGTTCCATTTTCTGTAGACATGCCAATGTTGCATTGTATGTGATATGTCCGATGCCTGGATGATGTGCTCGATCTGTACATCAGAACGAAGATGTATGAAGCGGTCAGTGCATGCAGAGGCGGAGTGACATGGAACAACCAGCTTCAGAAGACACTTACAACAATTGTAGCCTTTCTGTTGGTAGCATCGCGGGGACTCTCTGTTGGGGATTTGGCAACCTGGGAAGTAAAAGCTTTCTCCCACCGCCCATTACGAAGGGCCTTCAAGTCTTTATCAACAATGTCAGTCTAGAGAATGCGAGGTAAGGTCATCATTGGGGCGAATCGAGAGTGGGAGAAAGAGTTGTCATTGTGGATGTGAGAAATATCCAGGGAAGCATCTTCCCTATGGTCCCGCAAACATGTACAAGGCTTACCGCCATCACTGAGTTCACCACGAGTTGCCGAAACCGAGTAAGCTCAGCTGCCGAAGGGAAGAGGAAGGCACGAAGTTCTTCAAATTCGGGGCCCATAAGCAAATCCCAAGACAGGTCCAACGAATTCTGCACATAGGGTTGACACAGCCGTGAGTTGCAGTTTTGAATGTCGCTCTTTTGAATCAAACCTGTTTACGTACCTGTTCGGCAACGCTCCTTTCTCCATATTTGGATGCAATAGGAACTCCTTCCTTGACCAGCTGGGCATTGGAGACACCAACATGATCCTTCATGCGGCAGAAACAATGTGTAGCAATGGGTGAACAACTGCAAAGCGGGAGGGTCCTAGGTCAATCCAATCAATTGTTCGCACTTACGACGTCATGAATCAAAGCCGAGAAAGCGCAGGCAAATTGCGTCAAGGGATCGCTAATGTCGAAGTCAAATGGACGCAAAGTGAGGACCACGCTGTGCAAAAATGGAGCTCGGGTGCAGGCTGCTGCACCTACCTCGTGATGCCGTAAGTATGATCATGCAGACTTTCGGCATGGTTGTCTTCATCTACAGCACCAACGATGTCGCTCGGACCCACGATCCTTCCCATCAATTTGATTACACTCATGACAACGTGGGATGCATGATCAAAGTCTGTGAACAAACAGGCCCCAAAAAGTGGTTAGCAAACAGAATCAACCCCCCACCCCAACCCACACTCCAGGATGGAGAAACTTACTGTGGAAGGGATTGTCGTTGTACATGCAAGCGATGGTAGAGACCAGTTGACGTAGCTGTTTCGTGACGATAAGGGGTAACGTAACATCTTCTGGAGACATTTGCTTGGACGCTTCCTGAGAATCGAAGGCGGGGAGCTCGATGATTTCACGGACCTCTTCCAATGGCAGCGTCTTTCTGGATTCTGTCGCGGCGCCCTTTGTGGACTTGACGGAGACACCACCTCGGCGGGCTACAATCTCTTTCATGAGATTGCTCAACATCTCTACGTTCCAATCAATTAGACGCTTCGTTCGACCATCGTGGCCAGAGTGCAGTGTCGAGCTCAAGCGAAAGTCCGAGGATGCGGCACTACAAGTGCTGCCAGCCCTTTCGGTTGGGACGGTCACCCAATACAACTCGCCGGTCCCCAAACCTTGAGTGTCTGGTAGATCAGTTCTCTGACAAACCCATCCTCCTTTGCCGAGCTTTGTCAAATGCTCTGTGGTTTCACGAGAGCACTGGATCTTGTTGGGCTTTCCCGACTGGAATAGATTGTCCTGACAGGAGTTCATGGTACTTCCAAAGAGCTGAAAGCGGCACCTGTCACCGCGAAGAACGCCTGCTGTCACCGGTCCACTATCGTTGAGGAAGAACAATTGAAGTCGAGAGCAAAATGAGTTGCGTTTTCTCTAGCTAGCGCGGGGAGCGCTGAAAGGCAGCCAATCGCGTTTTACCTGTGAATACCGACTCGTAGATCTAGGTCACCAGTGTCCGGTCCAAGCTTCACTTCTAGGGCTTTGGTCAGCAAGTGTGTCTTGGAAAGGATGTCCCTCCCGAAGCGGGCCATCGTGATTGAATGAGTTGGGTTGGATTCGGGCAGACCGCACACGGCTTCACAACACAACAACAGCGTGGTAAGTCGACGATGTGGCCTCGGTGCATGACCCCAAGGAATGGCAAAACAAGAAACAGTTCATAAGAGGGCTTACCGACATAACAATCTCGGACACTTTCGACCTTGTAGACACGTCGTCTGCGAGCAATTGCGTCAAACTACATCAACCCCGTGAGTGCAAGAGAATCGTATGGTTAGCTTTGTATCGTATCATGGCTTGACACGACAGAGGAATATGCAGCTGCATTAGTACGTACCGCCTGAAACAGCGTTTCAAGAAGTATGAAGACATCCGTTGGAGCACGAGTAGAGGACCTGTCGACGAGAGAAGAAACATCAGCTTTCATCACGCGATTGTTGATGAAGACACATGGTGGTGTTTGGTCAGCCGTGTTCCGACTTACCAAGCGTCAAAGTTTGCAATGTCTGCAAACAGAACCTGATCGAGACAAAGCAAAGAGGTCGCGGTAGGTTAGCAATGGGAAACCAAGAGTGTACCGGTACCCAGACATGAAACCATTGCCGGGTCAAGCGTACCGTCGTGTCGAGATAAAGGTCGGCCAGAGGACTTGAGACTTCCACTGCGACATCGGAGTTGTTTAAGAAAGAGCTGAGGTTGGCCTTGGTACTGAAGCTTGTGCTGGTGAACGTGCTGGTAGACGCCGAGTTGTCTTGCTCCTGGCTCTGCATCCATCGATCTCGCAAGTGATCGGGCACCACAGAACTCACAATGGCATTGCTCTTGGCGGCATTGGAAACCATGATTTCGTTTCGAACTCCCACCATGCGGTCAAAGACGAGGAAGATTAGTGCCACAATGGCAAACGTCGTTGCCACCACGACAGCATAGATTACGGGAGTGTTCGACTTGTAATCACTTTCAAATTCCTTGGTTGGATAGATGTTCTGTGAAAGATAAGAAGAGACGGGCAAAACGTTTATTCTGAGCTCTGATACTGCACCAAGCACAGGCAGTCTTTGACATTCGATGGTTGCGATTTGCTTGCTTGCTAGCGACTCACCATATGATAGCGGCAATGGGCTGGATGGTCTTGGAGGGCGGGACTATCGGAGAGCATAAGGTATTGATAGACTGCCATGTCATCAAAGCGAGGGTCGTGGAGATCCGACATGTTCTTGTAGTAGGCCTCTTCGCCATCAATCAAGTAGGTGATAGTCTGACCGCAGGAGTTTTCAATGACACTGAAGAGAGAGAACAGTAGAGCAAAAAAGTTTATCAGCATGATGAGCATGGTCTTCATGGGAACGACATTCTTTCAGTTCCAGAACGAACGTACCAGTACATTCCCTTGACATTGTCAGGAAGCAGCTTTCGAAAGGCAGCATCAAACGACAGCGTCGTGGCCAGTGTCGCCACAACCTCGGAGTGTGGGTCGTCGGGGTACTTGTTGATGGGATGGTAGACAAAGAAATGGGGATTATCAACCGCATTATCGGCATGGTAACCCTTGTGTTCTTCCGGAGTGAGACCCATAAACTTTTTGACAGGCTGGTAGAAGGTTTCATTGCGGAGTTCCACCAAGGGTGTCATGGAAGAGTTCACGCCGGGGTTGCTATTGATGTTCCACATGAATGGAGCCGAAAGCTTTCGAGATGGTGGAGCCTGTGCCGAGCGTACGTGGTACCATTCACGGCCGTCCACATCTGGTACCCAACCATCCTTTGTCTTTTGGATAATGGTGGAAGCAAGCTTTGTTTCGTTGTTGAGCTTGTCCGTGTTGCCATACTTGATCAAGTGTGATTCCCTGATTTGGTTGGGGACTTCCACGGCTGCAAAGTCCAGAAAGGCGTCCTTGTTTTCGTGAGAGACGATCGAGTTGAATCCCAGATGCTCCGCCTTGGAGACAGCCATGTACTTTTCAGCCGTAGTCTCGAACATGGGAGGTAGGAAGAAAGGCCAAGGGAGGTTGCCCTGGCTGTCTTGATGCTGGAGGGCGGAGAGACTGATGCTGTTGGAGAGGAAGCACAGACCATCCAAGACGTCCCGCTGTTGGTTCACTGCCGAGTCGGCCACGGTACGAGCAAACTGATAGTACTGAAGGACACGACACGACACGCACGTGAGCGAACAAGACCTTGATGCGAGGCAAGGCAAAGCAGCCGCCAATGACACTTACCACAGTACGAAAGTTATCATGCTCTTGCTTGACTAGCAAGGCGTAAGTGGTCGCCGTCACAGAGACGGCCGTCCCCAAGAGAGCAAGAAAGGCAAGGCACTTCCAAGTCCTGACACGAGCCGTCTCCTTGCTCGATTGCTTTCGGACCTCCAACACTTCATCGCGACGGGTCACCGAGGATAAGCTGGTTTCGCTATCCAGCTCTTCCTCGTCGGTGGACTTGGCAAGCGTCTCGTCTTCAAACTTATCAAAGGCTTTCATGGTCCTGGCTGGTTGATTTGTGTGCTGCTCTACCTTTTTGTGGCTCTGGCTTTTGGGCTGATGAGGCAAGCTAGCTAGCGTCAGGGAAAAGTGACCCCAAGACGCAACGAGCGCTGAAGGCTGGAGCTACGCTGTACTAGTCTCTAGTACCGGTACACGTAATCCTGGTCCTGGCTGCAATGGCTTCTGTTCGAACTTCCGCTCTGCTAAAACGCAGTCTGGAGCCCGGAGGAGCTTTGGAGGAGGTAAGCTCAGGTGTCACGTGTGTGGTCATTGGTAAGAGAAGAATGGGTTGCAGTGATTGGCAATCGGTACTCAAAAGCCCGAAAGCAGGATTTAATTGCCCTATTTGTGACCTGTCAGCTGACCTGTCTCAGTTATCGATCCCTAATGCGGAGCTAATGCGGTTTGCACAGTTGCCGGTCACTGGTCACCGATAGGAGTTCCTCAAGTGTCAGGAACTATTCTGGCAATCAGAGAGGGAAACCAGATTTTTAACTGCTACCAGGTACCAAGTTAATAAAAAAAGTGTGCTAACAAAATAATGTTAAAAGGGGGTATCCGCACTAAACCGTTTTGTAGAAGTGATGACCCGCACAGACCCGCACAGCCGCACAGCAAGCATCACCCATCACCCGATTGAGAGTGGTCAAGTACGTACGTAAAACATACTACACTCCAAACCTGAATTTGAGAAACTCCAAATAAGAAAGCGAGTACTCAGATTTTAGAAAAAGATAAGAATCTTTTTATACTGAAATATCACAGACTTGTAAGAAAACCTCCCAGTATTGAGACCTAAAAGCACAAGAAACTCTACTAGCTAGTCTAGTCTGACACCATGAAAATGCTCTTAACTTGTGCCTAAATCTGCAAATTTTCTGCCTCACGGCAGAGATTGTGGTCACAATTTGTGCTTGACCCAAACCAATGAAGATTCCTGAGCAAGTTGGACCCAAAGGGCCAGGTGCACTGGGTGTATCCAAGAACTAACCTGTTTGATCTAGAGGCTTAGTAAGAAAGTCTTCTATACTGAAACTGGCTTGTTGTGTTAGAAATAATATGAGTAGATCTAGCAAAATAGAGCAGATTGGTAAGAAAGCTCCAGTACTGATTCCCAGTTATAGCTTTCTTATTATTGAGTTTGGAGTGTATTCCAGACACCATGGACATTTCTATTTGACCACTGTACATGTAGGATGTAGGAATAGTTTTATTGATTCTCCTTGAAGCAAAAAGGACGCTTGCGTCGTCTAAGCCTACCCTTCCCTTCCTGTGCTTCTTCTAAAGCATCCAATTACATGTAATTACGTAATTACTCTGGAGTACACATTGGATATTGGATTCGTGGCCGCTTCCCGTCGCCCTTCACTTCCAGCTTCCAGCAGTTCCACTAACTAGCCAGCTAGCTAGCTAGCTAGTAGTAGGTCCAGCTCACTTCCTTCCTTCAGTAACTGTTAGCATCTCCAATTTCAACAAAAATGAGAACAACATGACAGAGGGTGGTTATGGTATGCCTTCGTACCGGCTACTACTGTGGGCAAAGAAGAGGCGGAACTTCGGTGTTTTTAACGCGGGGGCGGGGACGTTACGAAGCCGTGTTACTACGATGTAATAGAGACCACTCCGAGTACCGTACTGGATAGACAAGAGTAGTCTAGTCAAAGAAGAGGCGAAACTTCACTAGTTTGAAGTTCTAGAATAGGATTCGATTCATTCCATTCCCCAGAAACAGCCCTAGATGTACTCTGATTACATGTAATCGTGTACCCAACCAGAAACAAAATTGACCATTGACGTCCTTGGCCCTTGGGCGCATGCAGGCATGGCTGCATGGATACAGTGTACAGTGCTTTGTTGCAAACTCTGCTGATGCTAGCATGTTCAAGCAAGGCAGTGGTGAGAGCTGCTTCGTCTGCATTTTGCCGTACCACGCACCAGTACCGGAAGCGGATTAGTCTTTGGCTGAAGTCTGTTCGATACACTCTTAAAGCTGCCGGGATAGGGCGCTCAATGTTTGAATCAAGCTGAAGTCGCTGTACATGGGTTTAGCTTGAAAGTTGCTACGCCTATTTCGCTCAGTAGCTACTTCGCTCTACCAGGTGGCAGGCGTCAAGCGAAGTACTCTCCTCCGGAATACATGTAGAGTTTAGAGGTGCCTTCACAGTTTTTTCTGCTACGGCCGTACTGGTACCACAGCACCACAACTCCACAAACCACAACCCAACATGACAGCGCCCTTTCCCACATCGGGAACTGGTCCTAGTTTGGTGGCACGTGGTTTGGGAAACCCTTTTCTAACTTGAGAGTCCTTTTTAGGGTTAGGGTTAGGTAAATGAAGCGGGACTGGCTGGCTCGTCTGCTCTGATCGCAAAGTCGCTAAGTCTCGAAAGATCCCCATCACCTTCACAGATACCCGTATGCATCGGAGGGGCCTCACACCCGCCTGCCAACAGCAACAGCCATGGCTTTGCAATGATAGAGATAACTTGCAAAGGATCCACACAAGCACTGAAACTTTCGTCGCTTTGCGTGGAGCGATTGCACCACCGAGATTTTCATTGGGCGGTAGCGATTACCGAGGACAAGAAGAAATAGCAAAACTCCTTTTTACAAGTGTGGTATTTTTTATGTCAAACTTTGCCCCCAACCGCTGGCTGGACAGCCATTCTGGAAAACATGTTACCCTCCCCAACCATCGCCATTGTGATCTCAAAGACGGCGTCTAGATTGCCAGCCTCGCAGGCACAATCCAACGGCAACACCCCAAGGTTGCTGTCCCTTTTGCTGGTGGCTGTGCTAGCCCCGTGGCGGAGCAGAGCGCGAAGTGCCGGGAAATCGCTCTGATGCTTGGCTGTGTGATGAAGAGCGTTGCAGTTGCCTACGTTGGGATCGGCGCCATGCCGCAATAGAAGCGGAACTAGCTCTGTGGCGTCGTCCAATGAATCACGATATTTTGCAGCGTAGTCCAAGGCAGGCACACCGCTCTGATTGAGATAATTGACGGGGATTCCCCCACCCAACAATAGCGCCACCACGTCCTTGTTGGCGTATCCGTCGGTTGCCATTTGACTATGTAAAGCAGTCTCACCAAGGTTGTTGACGGCCTTGACGTTGGTCCCTGCATCCAACAGCAGCCGGGCCGCTTCTGCATTGGAAACTAGATGGAGAGGGGTGTCACCATTGGAGTTTCGTAGGTTTGGGTTGGCCCCGTGTGCCAAAAGAATCCCAACAGCCTCGTGGCGGAACAGTGCCGCCGCCCGATGCAAGGCAGTTTCTTGTTGTTTCCCAAACTGCTCATTCACCAATGACTTTGCACCATTTTGAAGCAGCAAGCTCAGTATCTCCGGACCAGTTCTTCCCAGTTCCTGTTCGATTGTCGCCGCAGTCACGTCAGCCCCGTGATCCAGCAGCATTCGGACAAGCTCTGCGTTGTTGCGGGCCATTGCAAAAGACAACGGAGAATTGTGCGAGGAGTGCAGCGGTGCCGGTCTGTTTGGGTTGGCCCCTCGTTCCAGAAGCTCCCTCACGAGTTCCTGCGCCTGAGTATTGGCCCACCGGCTGCGGGAGTTTGTAGCCAATAACATGCTCCACAAGACAGAGTTGGGATCAGCGCCGTTATCCAAATAGACACGCACAAGTTCGTACTGTCGAGATTGAACCACCGCCGCAAACGCAAACACGAAAATGCCTTCTCCCTCTGTGGCTTCTGCCCCCGCGGTGCTGATGCTTGCTCGCCTCCAGGTTCGGGCCGTCTCCTGAAGCTCTTCGGCTGTTGTGGACCCTCGTTTTGCCTCCAACCCTGGCAACTCCCCCAGATGGGGGTGGCATTTCCAGGCATCTTGAGGTAGTTCTGGTGTTGAATTCATTGTTTCTTGTTAGGTGGCTTTGTTGCTTCAGTTTGTGGTTTGTGAGCTCCACAACGAGCATACGGAATTGTGAGACGGGTCTTGTGAATGCAAATTCGGCAACAGAACCAAATTTTTTGAACATTAAATCTTTCAGTGCTTGGACTCGGCGGGACTCGTCACTCGACTGGACCTGCATCCACCCTGAACCCAAACGTAAGGTACGACTGTACGGTACCACAGTACAGGCAAGCAAAACCTCCCAGGTTTGGATCTTTCGGCGATCTTGACAACTCTTCTCGAGATATCGGGGAACCTTTTCTGTTTGTTGTCTGTGGCAAGAGGAACAACAATGACAAGATGCGACTTGTGCGGGACGCAAAAGGGGGAAACCTATGGCTCCATCTACGACGTTGGCATGGTGTGTCATCGATGCTCGCTTCTTTCCATGGCAGGGGCCGAGATGGCCATGATGCCGCATTGCCCCAAAGTCCCGGATGACATTGATCCAGAGGTTCTGTCAATACAACAAAGGGCGCTGGCGCGGGAACCCTTGACGGCCGTCGAATACGAAGCTTGGGTGGAAAGTTGCGGAAACCCAACCAAAGGAAGACTGAAGGTCATGGAAATCTTTGCCGAAAAGAAGATTGAGCGATGGTTTGAAGACCACGGTGGCTCTGTTCAAATCAGGTTAAGTCCGGATCCTATTCCATTCGAGCTCCTCAGGGCATGTGCCATGAAACATCCACCTACTAGCCAAGTTGATATCCCCGGAATCAGTGTGGAAATGGCCAAAGCCGTTATCCAAAGCTTTCGTGTCCTGATTCTAGTGCTACATCACCACCCGGATATGGGAGAGATTGCGAATGGAGTTTTCGTGGGACATGAATGCGACTATTGCGGAAAAGTTTTGGAGTCCATCAGGCGATGTTCCCGTTGTAAAAAGAAAAAGTATTGCAACAGAGACTGTCAAAAATCCCATTGGAGGGAACACAAAAAGGTGTGCCAACCGGCCAAATGAGCCAAAAATGGATGATGCGTATTAAATGGTTACCAGATCCATGGGGGTCAGCCGTACGATAGGATTTGTAATTCTAAAGGATTCGATTCGTTGTCTGCAATCTGGCCTGAACGGAACTAGCGACCGATGCCAATGGGGCCGGTCGCCAACCACCAGGCTCCACTCCAGGACCAAGGACCGGGCGATGAACTGCAACTCCCTGACGCATATGGGGCGAGGTCAACATGTGTAGCTACTTTGATACTGTACTGTCGCCGTGGGGGTGTGAATGCATCACCAAACTTTTGAAACGAGAAACCCAGCTCGTTTCATTCAGGGAAGCAAATCTTTGGTTCAGGTTGCATCCCGCCCTGAAGACTGATTGCAAGAAGCGTAGACTAATAAGCAAATAAATAAATGTAACCGGCGTGTTACAGTCTACTGCAAACGTCGGAGTAGCATTTTGGCTTTTAAATGGCTTCGCACCACTTGGAGGACCTCATGCGGATGCGGGAGTATCCCGTTGCCCCAAGTGGCGCGTTTGCCATTGTTGCCGGTTCCCGATGCTCCAAGAGCCGACTCGACTCCAACCACTGCAAGATGAACGAGCGGAGTTGGACTGGCTGTGCGAGCAACTAGCTAGCTCTGTTTGGGACGAATGGTTCAATTGAATCGTTTTATGGCTGTTTGCTCATGGATACGATGCTTACATTGCTGGACGTACGATGCTTGCTTGCTAGAAAAGTAACTTTGTTTGAGCGAAGCATTGCTTGCTAGGTAGCACGGTAGGCAGGTACGGTAGCGGTACCGGTATACCGAGGAGGAGGTGCGTTGGCTGGGGCATACAGTAGCAAAGATATTTACCCATGCTTGGAACGAATGGTCAATGCGTCGTTTGGCTTTTACTCATGGATACGAAGCTAGCTACAGTAGCTAGAAAAGTATCCTGACGCAGGGTCTGTATCCCACGGGCTGAGGTTTTAGCCAGCCATCATGGAGCCGACGATAGAGTTTATTCAAGTTGCTGGGAGGCAATCCCACCGCCACAAGATGTATGCATGGCATTGATGGTTTGGTGTCATTTGAGATGCCTCAGTTGACGTTCATCTCTGAATGCCTTCATGCACTAGACAATTGCAAGCAAGGTTGATTGATGCGGGGTTGTCTGCCAGTTGATGTTTGCTTGTCAAGCAAGTCCCGTCACTGCAGCATGCCAAACGTACGGTACTAGTACGCTAGAAATGAGCCAACAAAGCGGTTGCTTTTTGTGGCTTTGGTTGAGTCTGAGTTTTGAGTCACGAAAACAAGTATTACGGATGACCTTGAAGAATGCAAAATACTTACAGAACGTGCCTGGGCTGATTTAAAGAGAATGACTATTTGTGCCTCCAAAGTTGTCCTTGTTGTGTCGGTTCGTGTTTCGACCCGAACCATCGCAAGTCGTGGCTGCGTCCTCATCGTTTTCGTTAAATTTGTCGAATTGGCGATAAAATGTTGATAACCAGCAAGGCTTTGAAGGTTATGGTTTGGAAAACTGTGAATAAATTCCAGGATTTGCAGCAAAAAGTAAGGTTTTCAAGCAAATTCAACGTTTACGCCTGGTTGCACCGGAGGTGCGTAAGTAGAAACCAGCTGTACCAGCAGTAGCTCCGCGGAGAAACCAATGCGTTCTCATTTTCCCGCGCGAAGGCGTGATTGGATCCGCTGTGATGTTGGCGAGAAGTTCTGTGTCTGGCTTTGGGATAGAGCAGAACGTGCTGGATTCCATTCGAATGAGCCATCATCAGTCAGTCTGACCCAAGACATGCCAACATCACATCAACCACAAGAACACCTTCTTGGTCTCCTCACAAATTCAAGTCCACTCCGAACCTCGGAAAACCCTACGTAACCAACAACCATGACCTTTTTCAAGCGCCACAGCATCAACCACAACAACAACCTCTTCCACAACAACAACATGATGAACGGCATGATCGTCCGCAAGCGCGATGCCCGCAAGATGCTGGCTCCTCAACTGACAGTGATGGAGCAGGCGACTCAACGGGTGCACTTTGACGAGCAACCTCCTGTCGTCCATCCTATCCATGACCATGTACGACCGGAAGAAGACGAACTGGTCTGGTACTCTATGGACTACTTGCACGCCATTCGACGAGAAGAAATCAAGAACAACTTGCGAGCGCAGTACTACAGCAAGACATCCGTCGTCGAAGACAGCGAGACGCTGTCATGGCGAGGCATGGAAGACATTCTGGAGCAGTTGTCGAGACATGACAAGCGAGAAGCTCACGTCGATGCCGTCATGACCAAATTCCGATCCCAACAACACAAGAAAAAACACCTCACCAAACATGCACAGCAAACACTCCGCAGCTTTTCTCGATCGCTCTCCAAAGCCGATCGGCAACGCGCACACACACTCGCCCAAGCGGATGCCCAGTTTGCATGGGGCGGCGGCAGCAACAAACAACGGCGATCGACATCCTCCTCTGTCTCGTCCGCTCGTAGTTGGTCGTCTCCCCGCGATTTTCTGCCCCAAAACCTCTTGCGGGCCAAATTGGGCATTGGCACGGTCAGTTCATGGAGACCGAGTGGTGTAGTCAACATGGACAGCGCATCCTTGCGGACGGTCAATTCGGAGGATGATCATCATCATGCAATACAATAAGTGAATGAATGCACGAATTGAAAACTAGTCTGTAATAATAGCGCCGCGTCGAGTAGAGTCCACACCTAACACAGCAAAAAATAGAAGCAATTTTTAGATTATTTCGGCCGCTTCTAGTTAGCCAGTAGTAGCTATTGGTATTTCCCAGAATGAAGCTCAAAAAACTCTCCTACCGGTATGGCTACTACTGGTAGCTGTCCCTGCCAACCATACCGGTACCTATACCGGTACCTTAATCCGGTCACTCTTTGCTAAAATCGTACCGTATGACCTCAAGGCAATGGTAATCCTGTGCTTGATTGCGCTGGAACCCTAGCCACCTGGTAGGTACTACATAGCGGAGGACCCGCCCTCATCACAAAGCCCTCTCCAAAAGAAAGCAAAACAAACCCTCTAGCTACGGTACCGTAGCTAGTTAGTGGCAAGATAGGTTCGTTGGAAGTTGGAAGGCAAGACCCACCAAAGTCGGCCAAATTACCTCGGCAGTCTATCTGCCTGAGTCCTCTACCCCTTTAAGAGCATTCAATACCGGGGTCACCCATAGCACAAAACCCAAATGGTCGGTGGCTTGACATACTCGCAGCAAGGCTATGCTTGCTCGCGAAAGAGAACCTCAACGATCGTATTGTGATGTTAGAATGATGTCATTGATGATGTGGCAATTCTTCTCCTTAAGTAAATTTGAATCCAATGAGTCAAATGGGTTTGGGTCGGCAGTTGAGGCTACCCAAACAGTGCCAATTTGCGTTGGAGCTTACTCAACCCAATCGCTCAAATCGCATTTGACTCACTGGACTCAGGTCGGCCGGCGATACTCGATGCCAACCATTTGGGTTTTGTGCTATGGGTGACCCCGGTATTGAATGGTCTAATAGGCCTATGCAGTGTCTGTGGGATCCCCCTTCTTTTGTGTCTGTGGGATCCCCCTCATTTTGGTGAAGCCAGGGTATAGGGTTAAGGTTAAACATTTTGCTGCAGCCACGCATTGGATCGTCCATCGAGCGTCGACCCCTGACAACAGCCATCGAGAGGGCAACGACCATTTGTCACCGCACCAACTCGGGTCCACGGCAAAGCAACCATGCCAGTCAAGTATGGAACACCTGCTTACCGCAGGAAGATTGAAGCCAATCGGCGATCCAGACAGAAGAAGCAGGCACAACAAACAGACGAGGAACGGCACACAGAGTTGAAAGTCAAAAGAGACTTCATGCAGAAGCATCGAGAACAACAATCTATAGAAGAATATTTGATTGCCAAAATGAAGGATCAAGAAAGGAAACAGATCAGACGCTCGATCAAAGGATTTTTTGATGCTGAGGCACAGGATTTCAAAGAAAGAAAGCGCTGGATTGATCGAGCTTTGGAAATAAGCAAGCTAAAGCTTGAGCTGAAGTTGGAGCGATATAAGCTGCAGAAGCTACGTGGTGTTGAAGACCTAGAAACCTCTGTAAATGGAGGATGGATGAAAGCTCAGCTTACAGACATCACAGAACAGGCAAAGAAAGAACATGCAATCTTAAGGCATGATTGGGACGAAAGGCAACAGAAACTCCATGCGAAGGATCCGGGTTTCTACGAAGCAGAGTGCAACATATTTCAACATACGTATGATAGAAAGAAAATTGCAAGAGAGAGGAAAGATAGTGCAACCCATCATGATCTACAACTTGAGCGGGTTAAAGAATCACTTGACAAAGCAATTTGTGCTCGCAAGGGTTTGTGGTGGCGGAAAAATATATTGCCAGGGCTTGTAGAGAAATACGGCTACAGTAAATGAAATGCTTCTGTGTCATTGTCGACGTACTGTATTAGCCAGTGGTCGACCTACTGATCCTCCAGATTCTCCTCTTTGTACATGTATTGCAGCAATCCCAAATGCGATCCTCTTCTATCTGTCTTTCTGCCGAGGTATCGCAGCTCCCGCTGACTTAGAGCAGAACATGACAAGTGGAGTTCTCTCCCGGATGACGATACTCCGAGGACTGGACTTGAGCTGACTCGACTTGACTCGACTCGACTCGACTCGAACCAGAAGAGGTTATGAGGCAGGCTTCCTTGTTTGTGGCTGGGTCATGGTTATTTCCTGTTTCAACTCCCACGGTCTGCAGTTCCATAGCAATTTTTGACTGGAACACCGCACCGACACACTCTACACGTACTAGTATGTACACTAAACTCCAACTTCGGGGCGGATTTGAGCCCAAGTTTCAAGCCGGCGACTCTACTCCACCATCAGTACTGCAGCGTTGCGGCCCACTGGTACGTAAAGGAGAGATTTTGTTTTGTCTTTTAATCATCAATGCATTCATTTTATGTTTGTCTATTAGTGTATGACTTGTTCGTACCGTATATATATATATAGATGTAGTGCCTGTTTGAGTGGCAGAGACCCGCCCCAATTAGACCGAAAAGAACACTATGGACACCACAAAGAATGCCGCCCAGGCCACTCCCACCATGCTATAGTTTGACGCGGCACCCGACACTCGGCGATCAAAGTTCCTGCGTTCCACTTTGAAAGCCGTGGGCTTGACAGCAGTCGGAGCGACCACTTGAGCACCCCCCAAGCGACGTAGCCCATTCTCATTGTTTTCCGAGGAGGTGCGAAACTTGACCAAGTGGCGACGACCGGCTTCTCCCAGATCCACAACCGCAGAGCCTTCCCCTGTGAGCTGGGCCGCGTTGTAATCATAAAAGTCTGCCTTGAGCAAGAACGAAACCGAGCACGTGACTGTAGATTTTCCCTTTTTCCTGCACGCTTTCTTGGCAAAACCAACTCCTCGCGCATTTTGACTGGCAACAATGATGCTTTGGGCAGCTTGAGAGTCCCCCAAGTCTTTAATGAGCAAATCCATAATGTCGGACATTTCGAATTGGGTGTGTTTGTTTTTGCCATTGCCATTCCCCTGAAGAGATCGCCGTGCTTCGTCAACGACTTCGAAGCATGTGGTAACAGTGCTACCCTGGGTCATGGTGGCGCTTCCTCCAGGAATCTCTTTTAGAGTTTGGGGATCGCAAAAGTAGCCAACCATACTGTTTTCGTCTAGACCAGTCTCTTCTGCGGAGGCCACAAAACCTTCAGCGGAAGCTACAAAGACCATTGGATCTCCTTGGTCGTTGATATCCGTTGCCAAATCAATATCATAGTGAACCCGGACCTCTTCCCAGTTGGCTAGATATCCATTAATGTACAAACCCACTTGGACACAAAAGGATAGAATGGCAGTAGTGGAATCCAGCTTGGTGTAAACGTCCGTGTTGCCTTCAATCCCTTCCACAAACCTGTACGTGATCGTGTTGCCAGTACCAGGAGCATTGTTGACGTCCGAGACTTCTGCCTCAATCCCTGTCACGGTGCTCGAAGGAAACCAGTAACCCTGATCTTTCTGGCCCTGACCTTGCATGCGACATTTGTCAAAGATTTGGATCTCCACGGTGTTTGTGGCCTCCGGCATGCCAGGGCCAGTGTCAAAGCTCAGGGAATAGGCCGAGACGCCCGTGACGGTAACATCCAAGTCTCCCTCTGTTCAACAATGGAGTTTGGAGAAACGCAAAGACGCCGTGAGGTTGAGATGGCATTGCCATGCAAAATGGCTATAGAAGAAGTGACAACATAGCTACATGCAAACTTACGTCCAAGGCACGGAAGCACAAGGCCCACAAGGACCATAACCATAGACACAACAACATCGACCCTCACTCCTTGCATTGTTCGCGATCCTTGCTCCACTCTGCGATGGTTTGGTTTTATGAGACTTGGAGGGTCACGTGTTAGGCTACCGTACAGTCTTCAGCCACTCGCTGACCCGAACCAGCCACCACAAGAAGGTGGTTGCGGGTCATCGATTGCTATGTCATATCCAGTATAGGTAACAGCTCTTCTGGTTGGCCTTCGACCTAGTGGTGATCTATACCGCTCCGTAGAAACGTCCTCACCGCAGTTGCATGGCTGTGGTACCTGCCAATAGCTCCTGCAAAGCAAAGATGGTGGTAAGTGGTGTCAGTTGCAGTATCCCAAGAGCATTCATGACTGCTGTTTTAAAAAGTGTACTACCGGCACTGGTCATGGAGTGTTATACCCGAGATACAGAAACCTGGCTATTACCAGCTTCAGCTCACCTTTCCAAGGCGGGTGGTGTCTTTTCATCAACAAGCGAACTCCATGGAGAGGTATCTCCAGTGAGAGCATTCCAAGATGATACTTGGCCCACAAGAAGGTAGTACGAGCCTACTTTTGCATCTTGATTGTTGTTCCAAAGAATGAGAGAGCCTAGAAGCCATTGTCCTTGTGGACATGCACTGCTCCGTCATCCTTCCATTGCTGCCTTCTTTTCCTTGGTGGAGTCATGGAGTCATGGATCACTCAAACTCGCTGCCAATAATCATCATTATTGAAGATCGTGCAAGTCTCTTCCATTTCGGAATGCAACATCCATTGAATGGGAAGAGATACCTGGCCAGCGAGCTCCAGCAGCCATGCAGCGCATCCAGTTTGTAGCTACTATTTGCTTTAGTGTGATTTCGATAATAGATCTTGACAAAAAGTAAATAATTGAGTGTCGGCACCAAGAATGGCCATGCCTATATATAGGCTGGCTAGAGTGACGGAAAGCGAAGCCCGAGCTTGGGCTTCTGCAAATGGAGAAGGGGGGAAACAAGGTTGCCGAGATCAGAATGCTATCCTGTCAACACCGCAGAAACAAACCAAGAGGCCACAGGTTTGTGACAAGATAGATTCAGTATGTAGACTAGCTATCGGTGTGAGTTGTTTGTGACTGGGCGTGCGGGTTGCTTCTTCTCGCAAGTTAATGTGCTTGAAAGACAAGAACTAAAGAATTGGACCCTCGAAGCTCCATATCGCAGCCACTGGCTGACAATGAATATGTCATACTTGAAATCGACGAAGCAGAAGATGGACCCAAACTAGTACGGTATACTTCAAACACAGATACTGTAGAAAAGGAAGCAGACCAAGTTTGAGGGAATAGCGCTTTAGCTTGAAGGAGCAGAACTAGCTGGCGAACTGGCAGGCTGTCGGTACGGTGCCGCGATGCCAAGGGATAGCAGCAGCTCCAAAGCGCAACACAACGTACCGTAGCCCGCAACTCTAGCTAGCTAGCTAGCTGCAGCAACCACGAACGCAATCGAGAGCCACAACGTCAACCTTCCAAAGGAGAGAGTGAAAGTCGAGTCGAGTCGAGCCATTCGAGTCGAGTCAGGGGTGGATGGAAGTCGCATTGGCAGAGGGATTGGCATTGCTTCGATCAACAGGCTCAAGGATTCTCACCGCTGCATGGGCAACCGTCGAATTCGGACAGCCCGAGGCACCTTGAGCTCCTCATCAGTTCGGGACAAACCGAGGTTACTCTGCTTCTGTAGATCTTATCATGACTGTGTGCGCTGCCTATGGCGAGATATCGTTCTGGGTGGGCTCTTTTTTGCGTGGAATCTACCTGTTAGTAGCAGAAAGACACTTCATTCTTTCTTCGAACCTTCTTTTCCCTTTGGTACTGAACCTGCGGATTCCTACACCGCAGACATCCCGTTGGGTGTTATCAACAATCCATCAGGGTGCAATCAAAAGATCCATTCTGGTCAGATTAGATACCTCCAGAAAATGGTCCAGAACAAAGATTGATCATCGTTGCGGCAACAACCAACAACACTCTGTTGTTCAAGCCGTGTAATCAATCAGCAAAGAAATAGGGCAGCAACGTTGACGGACTGAGCGACTAGGGGGTATCATCGCATAATGATGGATGATATCATCACAGCTCAAGAAGAGGACGGCATTTTCAACACGACAAAAACGGCACTACGAATCCTTCAGGGAGGAGCCTCGCTGAATGAAGACGCTGCCTTGGCAAAAGCACGAGCCCTGGTACCAGTCTTCACGGGTGGCTTGTCTTTATTTGGTTGTTACGTAGTTATACGAGAAATTCTGACCGATCACCGAGCCAGAAAGGGGCACTCCATTACTCGACTACTCCTGAGCTTGAGCCTCGCCAATCTTGTCTTTGCCATTGGAGCCATGATGAGCACCTTTGCTGCGCCACAAGAACTGGATTATAATATTTGGGGAAATGTGGGCACTCAAGTCACATGCGAGCTGCAAGGTTTTCTACTAGTGCTGGGATTTGTGGCATCTCCCATGTTCTACCTGGCACTGTCTTTATATTACTTGCTCACGCTCCGATACGGGTATTCCGATCAGACGTTGCAACTGCTCGAAGTGGCAATGCATGGCGTACCATGGGCCACTGCTGTGTGTGCTGCCATGCTGCCACTGCCCTGGGGCATGTACAACCATTCCTACGAGACGTGCTGGGTAGAAGCATACCCCTTGGACTGTGACCATACTGATGTCCCGTGCCAACGAGGACAGAACGCCTCCGAATATGCGCATGCGATTGCCTTTCTTCCGCTTTGGCCTTGTATCATCATGAGCCTCTTCATCATGCTGATTCTCTTTGTGACAACAATCTGCACTCACCATCCAGATCAACTGGCACGATATAGCGAAACGGCCATGCTTTCCAACCAAGTACAGCATGGTAGTGTCGGGGAAAGCACGCATCACCATCGAATGATTCGATCCGTGGCGATTCAAGCTGGTTGCTATGGTGGCACTTTTCTGCTGGCATATGGATGTTTCTTGGTAGTAACCATGTTGGACCGGTTGAGGAATCGTCGACATGATGAGCTTCATTTTGTCTCGTTCGGCATTTGCTTGCCATTGCAGGGTGAGTGAAGTTTTTCAACAGCATCTTGTAGTGTCATTGGACGGCATCTAAAACCCACCCTTTTTGATCCTTTGATGATCGATACTTCTGTCTCACTACTTTTGTCAATTCCTTGCTTCTCCCTACAAGCAAGGCTTTCTCAATTGCGCCATTTTCATGCGACAACGGGAGATGCAAACACTGGAAGGACGCCTCTGGCGCATGAGCTGCTTTTGGCCGTGTGTTCTGTGTTCCTACCTGTATCGCTGCTTTCGTCCTGACAAATGCCCCGACGCGACCAATGACGAAGTCCAACGGCAACGAGATGTAGATCTTCGTGGTTACACAAAGACACGGGCGTCTCGGGTGAGGGACGTGCTGGACAATCCGTCTCAGTGGTTCACCAATGATTCCCCCCAGCAAACTTCCAAAGCCTTGCGAGAGTGGAGTTACTAGCTATAGATGATAGCTCTTGTCCATCTTCTAAATATTATGTTTCATCTTCAAACCTGTAGAGTCAATAGTATTGACTCTACAGATACCTCAATTACGTTTCTGGAGCTGTCTTCAAGTGCTCTGGCACTGGGCAGCCATTGTACCAGTACCGCATGGCTCCGTAGCTGGCTGCTGACGAGAACGTAGGTGTCAGGGGCCTCGATCCATACGGTACTCAGTACTGGTAGACAGCCCGAGCTTCCAGAAAGCAGTTTCTCCTACTAGTAGTCATACTTCTAAAGAGATACATAGAAAACCAAATTTGAATTATCTTGGGAATCGAGCTAATCCGCCCTTCAAAAGTCTCTCAAGCCGAAGCATGGTGAAACAGTCAAGAGCAATGAGCTAGCCACTCGATCTTAAGGCGGAGGCAGATTTCCCGAGCCATCTCCTGGAAGATTGGACAGGGGGAGTGAACCCTCTGCTGGAGCCTCGGACTGGGGAGGGCCGCCCTCTGCTGCATCTGCAGGAGGATTTGGCTGGGCCAATCCCCCCAAAGCGTTTGCTGTTTCGTTTGCGAAAGCACCCAATTCGTTGGATACTCCACCCACGCTTTCGGTTGTAGTGTTGAGAATTGTCTCCACGATTTCTATTGTCGTGTTGACGATAGTTTCCACCAAGTCGTCTGTGGGTGGTGCGGTTGTGGAGTCATATTGGCAAATATCCCCGGAATAGCCGGGCAAGCAAGGGCAGATTTTCGTATGTACATCACACTCGCCAACCGAGCCGTCAGAGGCCTCACATTTGGCACAAAACAACTGATCCTGTTCACTCAATGCGTTTTGGCCGCCATACTGACACAAGTTTCCAAATGTACCTGGCATCGGGCATTATAAGGAGTGTTAGGTTCACAGAGGGCGGAGGGCTATCAATTACTCAGAAGAGCGATACTCCAACATTACCATTAACACATTCTTCGCAAAGTCGAGTCACGGGATTGCAATGGCCTTGTTCAAAATAGCAACCAGTCTCAGTGCTTTTTCGGTCTAAATCTCCAAACTCAAGGCACTCATAAGAACGTTCACAATTTGGTCCCCTTCGCCATTCGAAGGCAGGTGAGTCATGAGGATGACAAAACATGCACAGAAAGAAACATGATAATCTGCTTACCGAAAGAAATACGAGCAATGGCAATAGCCAGAATTGCAAAATCCATTGTTCTGACAGATGCCGGGGTCGCCGCTCTGTGAAATCAATGAGGCAAAAGGTTAATGAGAGTCTAAACAAGCGCAATAGCCACATCAGCGGGTTAGAACTCACACAGTCCGAGCATACATAGGTCGCAGGAAGGGGTTGGTTGTCATCGGCTTGGCGTGGAAGGACTGTGTAATTGGGAACAGGTTGTGTGAGAACCCAACTGTTACCATACTCTCGAACATAGTTCGCTCCACCGTAGTTCACAGGAGAGCTGAAAAACAAAGGCTTGAAGTGAGGGTACGTTTTGCTTATGTTCTCCAACGCTGCAACCGGATTGTTGGCAGGGTCATTGTCCCGCAAAAAAGTGATGAATTCATCCTTGGCCAAATGCTCAGACGACCCCTCTGGCAGGGTGTAAATCACCCACCGCCTTCCAGAAAAAAGCATGAATGTGGAGATGTTTTCTACCACAGCGGGCCCTTCAGCATCATTGAATCCACCATAAGGGGCATATATGCTTCGATGGTGCATGAGTGTGATGTCGTCATCAAAGCCCGGGACAAAACTCAGATCCACAAACTCCGTTTCAGATAGGAAATACCCGCCAGGCTGAACCGCTAGTTCGTCAGTTGTTCGAGCGTCAAGATCAAAGTAGCGACAAGTCGCTGGCAAATCACAATTCAAACCTTGCCGATCTTTCGATTTGCATTCACATTTGTTCAATTTGGAGCCTTTACTGTTGTCGACTTTACAATCGCCATACGCCTCATTGCAAAGCTCCGGGGTGCAATCGTTACAAACCACTTTCAGCCAGTCAACAGGCACATCGCCTGTGGTGCTGGTCTTAACCACCCAATTGTCAACTTCGGCCACATCAAATGTGTCGGTATTGGAACTCTTGAAGATGTAGTCGCATGAAGACGATCCTTGCTTTACCCAGGAGATCGTCCAGGCAGTCTCCGAATTGCAGTAGGCAAGCTTCAGTTTACCTGTATCATCAATATAAGTAACACGATCGTTTTCTCTATCGCTCCAACCAAAACCTTGATGGTGGAACTGGCCAGAATAATACGCCATCTCTGGCAAGAACGCGTCTCCAAATTGTATGTATACTGCCAGTACGAAGAGAGAAAGCCAAGATCGATAGATCAGCGCAAAAGTGACAGACATCAGCCACAGAAGAAAAGGAACGAAGAACGAACCATGTTTACAAAGATAAACTCCATTCATTTGCCAACTGACAACAAAGGCATACCCAATGGTCAGTGTGATGAACAATAGAATGAGCATGATCCGCTTCCACAATGTGCGCCGGGCTATGAACTCTGGAGGCGAGACTTGCTTCAAATTCTTGACCTGGCACAAGGAAAAAGTTGCATTGACCCAGTGAGCATGGGGTGACGGCACTAGTTATGAGAAAAGATATATCCTCACTGACCTTCTCGCAATCCGCCTGAATCTGACTTGCTAGGATTCCCATATCTGCCACTAAACAACAAGGAAAAGAAGCCAAGGTATCAGCGTAGTATTCTTTGAAGTTGGCACAATTGAAAGGAGACTTTGCCGCCAGCCACTCACGTTTGAAAGCAATCTCATCTATCTCCTGAACGAAGTACAAGGCTGTCAAGTTTAGAACCAAGTCAATGACAGAGGTCGATTTCATGGAGAGTATAAATGAATCGATTACTAGAACCACACCAACCATCAATTGCATAGAGCCAGTGACAAGCCTGCAGAAGAAAAAGAAGACGAAGGTTGGATTATCAGGTCTCCTCCTACGACAGAACAAGTAAAGCTGCAATTGAATCAAATCCAGGACAATCCATCAGGCGCACCATCGGGGAAAAGTTGCATTGGGCATGTCATGCAGAATGCCATCATCGTAACCTTCGAGCAACTGAGAACCTCCAACCACGATATCACCCTCGACTCCCATGAGCATCACTGTCAAAACCATGCCTGTGTTCCGGGAAGATGTGGCATTTTCAGCAGACAATGTTTCGCACTTCAGCCTGCAGCACTACATGAAGTTGCTTGACGTACCAAGGAATTGAGCAAGGGTCACAAAGGGGGACGTCCCTGGTGGAATTTTGAGTCGGTTGCTGACCCCATTCGTTTTGTCTGTGATGTTATTTGTCGAGGTTGGGTTTCAGTTTAAGTCCTGGCACGATACATATGCCGTCTCCAGTGGTACTGTATGGCAAACTTACTCTGTTCACCATCAGGGTTTGCGTCAATTAGGTCAAAAAAAGTCAGGAATAGCATTCCTGCCTGAAGAATGACCACAGTAATGGCAAAGAATGTCGTTCGACTGAAAAAGTCGGCTAAACCAGGAAATGTGATGAACGTGAGAGACCCAATCAATCCTTCTCCACCTCGGCTTCGGCTGCCTTACCCGTGTACAACAATGAGTACGAATCTTCGGTCAATGCTTGCTCTACTTCGCCTTCTTCCTCTTCCTCCCCATATTCGTCTGCGTACTCCATGGTCTCCGCGTCCGCTTGGTCTTTGGGTTGTTCGACCATTCGGAAGAGAGCTTCGGATTCAGCAGCGTCGTACTGGTAGCTCACTGGAGCAGGAGTTTGTTGCGGATCCGCGACGTTGCCATTAGTGTAACCCTCATAGTTGGTGTATTGTGGAGGTGGTGCCGAATACTGCTCCTGCTGCACGGGGGCTTGCTGGTATTGATATTGTTGTTGATATTGCTGTTGCTGTTGCACGGGTGATGTTTCGTACTGGTATGGCTGTCCTGGCTGTCCTGGTGCCGCTGGGGCTGCTTGGCCTCCAATTCCCGACATTGTTTCTTGCAACACTAGAGGTAGGTTGGGACTCTCTAGCTAGCTGGTAGTAATCAGGTGCTGTTCTTGCTTCCAACTCCTGTCGCGTTGCAACACGGCTACTCGGTGCAGTACCGGTAAGAGTACCAGTTTTCACGAGGCAATTCGGAAGCTCCTCTTGCTGCTTGCTTGATGTTGTCACGTTGTCTCTTTCCTGGCGTTAGTCAGGATTTTTGGTTTCCCAAGCAAGCAGCTGAGCTGTCAAATCTATCAAGGGTCTGATGAAGAAGTCAGGATTCCTGGACCAGATGGTGTTACGGTACCGTGGGTTAGCCATGCTACGAGTACTTGTTGATCAATCAGGATCAATCTTGCCTTCATTCCTGTACTGTAGATAATTTCCCTACTCTAAAACCCCCCTTATATTTCCTGTACTGTATCATGTATTCGTCAGAGTTTATCTTGATGGGTCGAGGAATGATCTGCCAGAGCCTTGCTCCTCTGTGCTGACATTGGACCAGGTTGCCCGTTGCACTGGCTTGGTAGTTACATGGCATTTTACTAGCTAGCTAGTACATAGGAGCTACCTAGATGTCGAGTTTTTGCCCCAAAAGGGGCGCCGATCCGTATGCAGCCAGAGCTTCCAAAAAGGAGTGTCCCTGGTACCGGAAGGGGTATCGTACGGAAGCAGCCACCGGTACCGCTGTTCGCACGAAGCAAACCTGCAAAGGAAGGTCTTCTTCCCTGCCGCTATCATACATGTATTTATTCTACTTTTTCCGGCCCAGCATGAAACGATTGAGGACTCAGCTTTCCGGCCACGGTACGGCATCATCTGGATGGTTGGGTTGGTACGGTTGTACCAGTACCAGGTACCACTAGTGTTCCGGGCGGGATCTAAAACAGCTCCACAAGCTGATCGACTCAGCAGGATCTTTGGATCTTTGGCTTCGACTTGACACCTCCGACACAACGACACCTCTCTTTGGCATCGCCATTGTTCAAGTCAATTGGGACAAGTACTGTAGTAAACCGATCTTCCAATCAATCAAAAAAGCCAACACTCTATCATCAATTGAGTTGAAGAAACATGAAGCGTTCATCTTCTCTTGTACCACCAGTCTGTTGGACGGTTGCCCTACTGATCTGGCTGGGCCCGTCTATCATTCCCCGCTGCCACGCCAGATCCTTGGACAAGCCTTATTTCCTGAAGGGAACTTCCACTAGTAGTTTGTGGACCAGAGGAGGTGGGGGAGGCAACAGCAAGAGTACTAGTAGCGAATCGTTCAACTTTCACAAGAACAAACCGATTGTTCCTTCTCCCAAGGAAACGTTGGATGATTTGGAAGCCACTGCGAGTGACGAGTACATTGCGCACATTATCGATCAAGTGTCGTTGAATTCCACCATTCGAGGCGACATTATCTTGAAATACAAACCCCACCGACTCTGGTTGTGGAGACGATGGCACGGGACCATCTTGCAGAGTTCCTTGTCCAAAATGTTTGGCAACATGCTCTTGACAGCCGTCATTTGTCTCTTACTGGGAAGAGTCTGTGGCTTGAGTACCCAAGAGAACTTGGCCAATCCCATGACGTGGATGCAGGATTCGTCCTGTATTTGGATTGCCCGTCTCAAGGTATTTGACAAACTATGGCATTATCAAATGCAACTCACTACCTTTATATTGACATTCTTCCTCACACAAGCATACACGCTCTGGAGAGACATGTACGCCACGGGACGCAAAATACAAGGACGCATCAGTGATGTCGGCATTTTACTCGCGACGCATGTCGTGCGCGACAAACACAACCAATTGTCCCCGGAAGCACTTGACTTTCTTCACGATACCGCCCGCAATCTACGGCTCTATCATGTACTCGTATGGGCATCGGTCTCGCGACAATTCAAGGTCCTCCTCACCAACCGTGGCATGACGGCATTGCTGCAACGAGGAGGATTTATCACACCCAAAGAACTCGAGACGCTTCGACAATTGACGGATTTGCCCGTCACGGCACGACACAATGCCATTGTCGAATGGATCGTCATTCGGTCTTTGGATGCCACCCAACGAGGGATTCTCCTGGATCGACAAGAACTCTTTGCATTATTATTGGACAAAATCGGTGTGTTAAAAGGCACCGCCGCCGGGATTGGGGACATTGTCGATGGACGCATGCCACTGGCGTACGCCCATTTTGTCCAGGTTCTCGTCGATTGCTTTCTCTTTGCCGCACCGCTGGCACTTGTTTCCGAACTCGGATGGCTCAGTATCATTTGTGTCGCATTCATGACCTTGTTTTACGAAGGACTCCTCGATCTTGCCAAGATTTTCTTGGATCCACTCAACAATGAAGATTATTGCGAAGGAGGGATTGATATGGATCTGGGCGTATTTGTTCGAGAAGCCAATGCGGGGACGGTAAAGTGGTTGCATGGTGCCAAAGTGTTGCCGTTTGACACGAAACCTCCCAAACGACGAAATTGAAAGGTAGCTATTTTAAAAATAGTGAGAGTCCTCCATTGTCAACACAGCAGTCGACAATGTACCGTATCGTGGAAACATCACCAGTACATGTAGTACAAACAAAACGTTAAGCCAGACAAGGAATACGTATAGGAGAAGGCTCATCGAAAGATTGCCCTGCTAGCATTACATAGCTGCTACTATCATCCTCTGTAAAACATCTTCGTCGGCGTCCCCGGCCCACCTTTACTGCCAAGTCGAGTCGGGATCAAGCTGTACACTAGCCTGAAGCCTGAAGATACTGCAGTTGCTGTTTGTCATTTGTCCTTTCCTTCCGGTCTGGTTCGGTCTTGGTCATTGCCAGAATCTGAATTCAATCAATCAATCAACCTTCTTCGCCGATCCAAATTGGCTGTTCTGCCAAAGCAAGTAGGTCAGCAGAAGGTACATGGGTTGATCAATAAAGTCAAAGCTCACAATGACATCGTAGAATCCGACAAAGTAATAAAACACAAACGTTACAAGTGTGCCAGAGAGCAGGAATGTCTTGGGTGCAAAGTTGGGGTCGTAGACAAGGTGCAGCCATTTCGTCCAAAGAGCAAAGGTTGTCACAGTGTCAACACAATCGTGAAACTCCACACTGACTCCAACGAGAAGAGAGAGGAGCGGATAAACCAACATGGAGCTATCCCATGGTGTGTTTGTCAGGCGTGTAGCCATGCAGAAGAAGAAGGCATGCATGGCCACTTCAAAGCATGTTGTATGGAACATGTTCAAGGTCCCGTAGGCAAAACAATAGTGATTGATGGAATGGAGCAGGTCCAATACAAGAAACACGTTCCCAAGTGGTCTCTCAACCAAGAACCTTGTAAAGACAGGGTTGGAGAGGACCCAAAGATGCACAATGACGTTGTTGAAAACATTCATTACCAGGAGAGCTTCATTGTCTTGGATTAGAGAGCTCTTCTTGATAGGGGTCTTTTATGCGCTTCGCTCGTTCTGTTTGCAGAGTAAAGATTGTGAGAAGAGAGCATAGAGGACTCCCTTTCAGTTGTCTTGTTGCTGATCCTTTCTTCGTTACTGGTACGAATGATAGACGTAGTCCTGAGCACCGACCTAAGCTCAGCTGCTGGTCGTCAAGACATGAACAGGCCTAGTAGTGAGTACTGGTGTCACTGTTGCGGATGTGTGTCTGTGTGTCTGCATGGTTGTCGCAATGCTCAAGTCTCAGCCTGTGGGAGTCACCGTGAAGGTGTGCGGGAGTGAACTAGACCTGAAGCAATATAAAGACAAAACACGTTAAGGCTTCTGCTACCGCTGAGAGAATCTGGCAAATCTTTGTATCTTTCGCAATGACTGCTCGATCTCAGCGAAAAGCAACCAGCATTTGTTCATCCCAACTCCAGGCAGCGTGTTGCAGACCGTGTTTGACCATTGCAACCCACCCTTCGTGTCTGTCAGCTCTACTAGAGACTAACTTGGTCAGTTGATTGTTTGTTGCCAGGTCCAATGCATGCAAGAGGCTTTCTTTGATTACAGTTGATTCATCATTCTAATAAAAAAACACTTCGCATCGTGGAACCATGAAGTCAAAGAACAAAAGCAAAATACGCCTCCTATGGTTCCTGTCGACCTTACTGTATCAACAGTGTTCCGTGGCAGTTGGGGCTAGTCTTCGGGGAGGTGGAAGTGGGCTGTGGCGGTCTGCCTTGATTGATGGATCAAGTTTCGCCAGTGGTGCTGAAAGTAATGAGCTCAAACATCTTAGCATCGACATTGGCCATGATGAGCATCAGCGCGAACAACAGGAAGGTCTGATGTGCCCATTTGATGGGGTATCCAGTGCTGCTGCATCTATCTGTCCCAGTACTGCTAGCAACCGAACAACTCCCGTCTGCGAATTTCACGCCGATACAGGTGATTACAAGACAGTGTGTTTGAAGACCCATGCTGTTGCACAGCACTCGGCCTTGCTGCCGCACGCCCATGCCAAATCCTACTGTGGTGTCTGCAAAAAGTGCTTCCAGGACAGAACTGAGCTCATGAGAGCCATTGACAAGTACAAGTCATACAAACAGGTCAACTTAGAACTTGCTGACATCTATGGATGGCCCATTGGCAAGTGGTGTACCGACAATGTCACGTCATTCTCCAGTCTGTTCTTTGGAAAGGCAAAGTTCAATGAAGATATCAGTCAATGGCAGACCAGCCAAGTCACGGACATGACATCCATGTAAGCAATACGTGGTAGCAGCACGTCTCTGCTCACGCTTCCGCTGCAATCCAACTTCTAACTCATGATTGTTTGACAGGTTTCAAAATGCATACGCCTTCAATCAACCACTCGATACATGGGATACTTCCAACGTTAAATCTATGACCAGAATGCAAGTACCGACTTTTTTATGTTCAAACACAAACACCAAGAAATCTCACCCACTTTCTCACTACTTGCTTTCGTTGCTGTTTATGTGTTGCTGTTTTGAATTCTAATCATCACGCAGGTTTGCCATGGCCATTCACTTTGATCAGGACATTTCTTCCTGGGATGTCTCCTCTGTCCACAAGTTTGGATACATGTTTTTGCATGCACTGGAATTCAATCAAGACATTTCGCAATGGCAAGTACACAATGCAAGAGACCTCAATTCCATGTTCTTTGGAGCAGAAAGCTTTGAAAAGCATCACTTGCAGGCGTGGAAGATTAGCGAACATGCGGATACGCAAAACATGTGTCAGTGGGATGAATACCACATCAAGCAAAAGAAAGATTCAACAAACAACAGCAACAACATCACTAGTAGGCAGCAAACAGACGATTCACAATCACAGCAACAGCAACAGCAAACTCAGCAATAGTTTTGATCAGGTGGGGTATGATTGCAGTGATCATATCGCTGCGATGTTGTACTCACGTGCGCACCGGCAAGAAGCCAAAGTGCGAGAGCAGGCTCGTCTATCTAAGCAACTGTGCATACCGGTAGGAAACTGCGGACCTGCAAATGGCTGCGAATATGCACTATGTATAGCCAAGAAAAGTAGCTAGAATTAGACCTTATAGTACTCAAACAATTCAACTTAATTTTAAAAAAGATGCTCACTCTTTCAACGACCAACCAACCAACCAACCCTGGCCAAGTTGAGCCCAAAGCACTATTCTATTGAGAGCATGCGTGGGTTGGTTTTCGCCGGAGAAAAGCTAGCCGATGCAGGTCTTCAGTTGGATGGAGCCAGGGCGGCAACTGCTGCGCTTCGAAAGGTTTCCGGTAAGGGCAAGAAAAGACAACGCTTGTTCGACCGCAGCTTGGTCGGAAAGTTTTCGGTGGGGCGCAGGACACAATGAGGAGCAAACGCATCTGTCATGTAGAGCTCAAGATCATACAATTGAGTATGTGGACCGGCTCCAGCCTTATTGATGTCTTCAAAACCTTGAATCAGAGAATCTTGTTGGTTGAGCGCAAGGTCAAAATGGCTGGTGGCAAAAGATAGCTGATCTGGACAAGACCAGAACAGAAAGCCACCAAGACAAGCTGTATCCAGAAGGCACATTGCCTCTTTCGCATAGCTCCTGAGAACGTGAGTGTGTGATGAGAAGGGTGGATTGTAAACAATCATCGTGGGCAGCAATCAAGTCAATAAGAGCTAATCTCCAGAACCACTCCAAAGTTTGAACCAGCCCCACGGAAAGGGAACAACTCTTCCTTTGTCAAGGCCTCTTGGTTTTCACCTAGACCACTCTTCCAATGCTGTCAGTTGCAAGTCCGTGCCTGCGAAAGAAGTGGCTCAGGCCTCCAAGCAGAACCAGACCTGCTCCAACTCCAGGTCTATCTCCGAGCGGCTCCCTACTTTTGTCAGCGGACCGTCCAAGATCCGCACTCCGCTATGTCGTTTGTATAGTTGTACTCTTTCGGCCATCGCGGCTTGGAGTAATATTCTTTGGTTTTTGAGTTCATAGTACCATACATTTCCGTCAATACCGAGATCATGGAAGGTCCTCCCATGTCTGGTAGTGACATTAGAATGGCGTTTTTCAAGTTTGTCAATGTCACTCTGAAGTTTCGTCATAAAGTCATCCATCGATGGGTCGATTACGAACCACGATTCCGATGACACTTTCCATTTGTAGGAATAGCCCATGTACCACGGATTCGGGGTATCGAATTGCAGGGCAACCCCGTTGACGTCAATGAGCTCGAGACGGGTACAAGATTCTACGGGACTATTGGCAAAATATGGTTTCCTATATGGTGGGCATGCATGAAAATTCTTCGCCTCAATGAGTTTCACTCTTGACAAAGAGCCCGAGACGAGGCTCTCCCAAGTTGGGACCGGAATGGTTCCTTCGCTCCGATAACCCCCTCTCGGAGAGTTGAACCCCGACGATCGCTTCTCGACAATTAGACTTCCCGTTCTGTCGTGTACTTTCCCCCTATACTGGATAGAGTTGAAACAGCATTTAGTCGTTGAATTGCTATGAGATTTTTGAACCGTGCGGATATTGTTCAGATCCAAAACTTCTGATAGGGGTATTGCAGGAGGAGGGCAGGGCAATATCGCAGTCGGATCGATGCGAGACGCGGTTGTACCAGGAACTGCAAGGTTGTGGCTCATGTTTCCATCATTTGAGGAGCTCTTAGGTACATGTGCTCCAAAATAAACGTGGCTCTCGTTTCCATGGCTGAAGGAGCTTCTGTTTGTGTTGACTTTGAGGCAAGAGTGCAAGAGAATAAACTGCATCAAGGCCGCCAGCCCTCATACCGGTACTAATACAACAAGGAGAAAGTAATGGCGCCTGGAAGTCCACATCTTGTGATGAAGCGACGTGTTTCTTTAGGCCTGTTGTTGTTTGTTGTTGCTTGTTTGTTGACGGTGATGATATCCATGTGATGCTTTTTGAGACGTGAGATACTGCGGATTGACGTACGTGTCACTGATTTGGACTGTGCCTCTTACCGCAACAAAGATCCCGTCAAAGTTTTAACCCAACAAGAACGCGACAAAATTTCCAAATATAAAGATGCGTGCGAGTCCAATCGCGCTTCCTTCCACCCCTTTGTTGTTTCAGTGGATGGCATGCTTGCCCCTCAAGCCAAGACTCTCTTACAACGCCTTGCTTCTGCTACTGCCTCCAAAACTCAATTTTCCTACTCTCAAATGATGTTCTTCATGCAGACCCGTATCTCAATTGCCCTTGTGAAAGCTACCCATTTATGTCTCCGTGGATCCCGCAAAGCCAAACCCTTTGCCCCCCGTAATGGTCCTCAATTTCTTGCCCCTGATCCCACAGAACCTAGTCCTGAATTTCGACTGTTCTTTGCTTAAGCCTGGCCCCGGCTGGCTTCCGTAGATAATTTCCCTACTCTAAAACCCCCCTTATAACTGCGGAGATGCTGGTGAAGAAAATAAATACTAAATAGATATGTTAAGGAGCGAGGGGGGCGAGGCTAGGCAAAGCAGTGGCTGTGGTGGTGGGTGGCTGGTGTGGTGGGCATACGGGGAGAGCAATGAGGACGCGAGCAGGGCAAAACAAGGGGGGGCATGGAAGGGGGGTGCATGGAGGAAAACCAGGAAGGACAAGGGAGCAAAATTAGCTTGATCATGCAATCACGTCTCAATTGCAGTGGTTGCACGCGCACTGGCTCTCACGTGAACGAATGAAACGCCACGCAAAGATTATTGAAAAGGCTATGAAGAGAATCTTATCAACCGCCATCTCGTCAAGACAAAAAGAAGGCACCAACATACATCGCATATCGCATTATTAAAACTCGCAACAGCAGGTGCTTATTCAAAGAAGAGGAAACAGCTAGGCGGTTGAAGGAGTTGTTGCTGCTTGCATGCCATGAGAAGCTACAATGTAGTAGTCGTCGTGAGTGCAGTTCTTGTTAGTTTCCTCAGCGGCGTCCTAAGTCTAGCGCAACTCCCTGAATCTCCTTGGGACAGAATGCGAGGGCAAGATGGGACCATCTCCTTGCTGATTGCCGTGCCGTTGACCAAGAAGTAAGTTTTAGTTATTAGTTAGTTGATTCAATTACTTTTCTGCCGTGCAAGCCCGCAGCAATCAAGTTGGCTGCAGCCATTGAGATAAAGGGTATGAATTGAATCACGATTTCAGTCCCGATCTAACCGCCTATCCTTTCTTCTACCGGTATGATGCCATAGCAATGAAACTGTGGTAGATCCAGGTTTCTTCCATCTAGCAGCAGCCCGCCTGGCTGTGGACCATTTTAACTCGAGAAATGCATCAGTAGTCCAAGCTCTACCTGAATTGACCAAGCATTGCCCCATCACTTTCGGTCATGTCCAGGCTGTGGATACGGGCACCAACACCCATGGGGCTACGGAAGCGGCGGTGCGGGGCCTCCGACACGCAGAACCTCCGGACTCCATTGTTGGGCCCTACAATGAAATTCCCATGCTGGAGATGAGTGTTTTGGCTACGGGGATGCAAACCCCAATGGTTGCTCCCAGGATCGTGGACACGAATCTGTTGCAGGAAGATAGACACCCTTACTTTAACCAGCTCGGTGCTGATGCTTTCAGTGAAATGAACCTGGTGGCAAAGTATCTCAAGCACCTCGGGCGAAACAATTATGTGGCAATCGTCTACGACTATGCAAACAGTGCCGTCCAAAAGGTTGATATTCTAAGGGTGGTGTTTGAAGACATGGGGTTCGATCAGGTCCAGACTTTCCCCTATACATTCTATTTCGACAAAAAGCTGGAGGCTGATAAAGCTCGAGGAGGGCGCGGTCCCCCCGAGTCCTTGGATCTTCGACTGGTTCTACGGAAGGTGAAGGACACAGGGTACAGGACTATTGTCCTCATGCCATCCCGATTGGACAAAGAAGCAGCATTGGTCGGACCAGTGGCTACTGAGTTGGGTCTTGATCAAGGAGATCACCTTTGGTTGATTTCAGGTGGTGTCGACATGCTCAGTGCAATGGAAGTGAATCGCTTTCTGCAGAACGACACTGACCGGGTCGGGGCTCGTTTTCTCAAAGGAGCCACGCATGTGTTCCCATATGACGGATACGAACTGAACCCCGAGTCTGACTTTCGAGCTCATATTTGCAATCATGATACTACCTTTCTGCAAAGAGTGCAAGAGCTCAACCCCGTACCAGGATACTACGAGAAGGAACTGCAGCACGTTGTGGTTTCCAACACCACGGACAGCTCTCCCTTTGTACAACTGGCGGTAGAGCACACTTCCTATCTTTCAGGCGTTAGTTTCATGTACGACGCCGTGATGAGTCTTGGGCTCGGGGCCTGCAACGCATTGAAGAAGACCCATCAAAACATTACAAACGAAACCACCGCGTTCACAGGGCGAGAACATCTTGCTGGAATCCATGTATTGGACTTCTTAGGTGCCTCTGGACGAGTCAAGCTTGGCAGCGACCTTGGCTACCCAGGGAGTCGCCAGGGCGACACGGTGCCGTATACCATTGCCAATTTCGTTCCATCGCCAAACGGCACTGGTCTTGTGATACGGCAGGCAGAAATAATCAACCCCTTGTCTGGGGAATGGGTACAAGTGAACCCGTACTTGTTCGCAGATGGATCGTCCAATCCGCCAGAACTTTTGAGGGCCACACCGGACCAAAACTATATCTCCACTCCAGTTCGAGCAATTGGCATGACTCTCTTTGCTGTTGCCTTGACGATTATCCTGGTCGCGTCTGTGTGGGTTGTCACGAACCGGGGACACAGCGTGATTGTCGCAGCGCAACCTTGCTTCCTCTATGTCATTTGCTTTTCCTGTTTTATAATTTGCTTTTGCATCCTCTTGTCCGCGTTTGATGAAAGTTGGGGATTTGACGAGCAATCCTTGACAAAGGTATGCGTCTTGTCGAATTGGATCGATTTTGGTTTTGGAATGCTTTGCTACTGTGCAGTGTTCACAAAGGTACGACTTGACACGCTACCTTGGGTTGTAGACGAAGCACGTAGTCTCTAACCAAAACAACCTCTCATCGGTTGAAGTTATGGCGTGCAGACCTCTGCCTTCGCCGTAAAACTCATCAAATCGAATTATGGAGAACGCTGTGGCCCCCAGCACTGTTGTTGCTAGCTACCATCAGCATTTTGTCTGCTGGCACGGCAAACGGCGATTTCGCTTGGGTTAGGTGGGAGGTTGATGAAGTGACAGGCGCAAGCGTTGCGAGATGCGACGGGGGATCAGGCAACATCTACGGCGCAGTAATCAGCGTCACGTTGTACATGATTCCAATTGTCCTGTCTGGGATTATGGCATGGAAGACACTTGGCATTGACCAGACATATTCCGAAAAGGGGGTCTTTGCTGTGATCCTTCTTCATTTCCAGGTAAGGTGTCTCAACTTTCACAAAATACTCGTGTGTTTTGGCTGGGCGTTTCAGCTGATCTTGGCGTCTTCTTTAGGGCATGGTTGTCATGGTTCCTCTTGCTATCATTCTCCAAGGAGCATATCCCAGCGCCCAGTATATGATCAATTCCATATTCTATTTTACGTTTACAACGAGTTTCATGGGTCTGATCATCCTTCCAAAGTATCTTTTGGTTCGGCGCATGACCAAACGTGCAATTCAAGCCGAAGCATCGACGGATTCCCCGGCTTCAAATGAAGTTTCAAATGAGGTTGGAAGGAGTGGTGATGCTACAACCAACGCCAATGCTACCGGATCTGCAAGTGGAACTCCTCAGCAGCCGTCGTTGGGATCTGGCCCCAGAATACAAATCGTGACTTTTGACTGAGTGAACGATGATACAATACATCATGGTGATGCCTCCGACTACCCACGTCACGGTTTCCAACACTTGATGTGGCATCTCGCTCGCTTATATGATCCCTCTGTCAAGGCTTCCTGCATCTGCCGATGGAGCTACTAGTCTTATTCCAACCAGTGTCGGAAGCATCTGAAGTTCGGTGTGGTGCACCAGGTGGCTTCGAGACCCACCTATCCATGCGAGGGAGCACAAATGTGGAAAGGCAGAAGGGTTGAACGAGTTGGTGGCAAGGCAAGGCATGAAACGCCGCACAGAGCAACCAAACCATCTTCGAGGACGCACGTACCGTAATCTCGCTTTTCGAAAACGAAAACCAAACAGTTTAATTTTTAAAAGTTTCTTTTGTTCTTCAAGGATACGAAACGATATCAAAACTTTGAAACGATATCGAAACGATCGATGCGCAGTGCAGCGTATGAACCCGTACCCAAGACCACGGTTCGTGAGCGCGATTTCGATTTTGACTTTGATTTCAAAATCAAAAATGGGCGTTTCGTTGCAGCCTTCCTTTGGCCCCTTCTTTCATTCATCGCTCATACACAACACTCATTCATTTCCTTTATCATTCGTTCGTCGACAATGACACTCATCATCGTGTCCGTGCCAGCTTCCGTGTGATCCTCTCGCTATTGCTGCGAAGGTAGTCACTTGCATCTAAAGTTATCCTCTTGCTATTGCTGCGAAGGCCTACGATTAAGATGACAAGCAAGATGGGTTGGTTCGTCCTCGTGCAAGGTAACGTTGGTTCTTCTGTTTGGGCGGGTCGCGTCATTCACCCATCTCTTGCCTTATTGCTCCTACTATAGCTAGCCTGGTTCGTCCTCGTGCAATCGTTGGCAATGGTGTCGTTTCACGTTCGCTCCAGTTTGTCTCATCATCGCGCAAAGGTACGGTCCACGAGTACGCATGCATGCATGCATGCATGTCATTAGTAGTTCGGAGTTCGTTTGAACCTTGAGAAGGCGAAGGGGTCAGTTTTCCGAGGCTGGTCCTCCTTGCCTTTGCTGAATGAAAGTGACATGCAGTGCATGCGGCCAAAGCAATGGTGCTTTGCTCTTTATTTTTTCTCTCCGCTCAAAGTCTCACCATTCTCTTGCTTGTTGCCCTTGCTCTTCTTTGTTAGGTAGGTACACAAGCAAGCAAGCAAGCAAGTTCGGATCCCAAGGTACTGTAGTCAGTCTACCATTGTCCCCTCTCATTGGTCCATCGTCCAAGTCTTTGGGTCTGCCATGGTGTTGCTGGTGCTGAGTGTGTTGCGGGTATCCAAGAGTCCATTCGTTGCGGTCTGCGGCTGCCGTTGCTTGCATTGCGTCTTTTTCGGTTGTGGCATGCTTTGGATGACAATGTGAATGTCGCCTTGCTCTGTCCAAGAAGCTTGATTTCCGAGCAGCAGGCATCCATAAGCCCTTGTCTTGGTGGTTGACGTTTTCCATGTTCGCTTCCTTCATTTTGCTGACGTTGACCGTGTTGAGGTGACCCAGGGAAACTGCCCAGTAAGTAATGGAGGCCACGTCAGCTCGTATGTTTGCCTGGTTGCCGTATGTCATCACAACTCACTTACTCAGCGTCATTGCTTCTTCTTTTTCCCACATCAGACAGACAAGGCAATTGCCGTTTGCATGCGGCGTGATGATGTGTGATGATGTTGGTGTCGTCGCTGAAGTGGAGCGTTTGGTTCTGATTCATCTTCGCCGGTCTTTCCCGAGTGCTTGGCCATGCCAAAAAAACAAAGCCACCATTCATTCATCCATCACACGCACACGCATTATTATTATTTTCGACCCTCTGCTTCACAAGGTTCAGACCGGGCAAGCATTATTTCAGTTTTCTGGTGTTATTATCGGTCCTGGATACATACCCTACCACATTATTCATCACCAGTGAGTCAGTTCTACAAGGTTATCTCTTCACTGCTCATCAGGCGCACTGCTGCTTGCTCTACCCCACAAGTCATCCATCCCTTCATTCAAAAGCACTCGAGCCACTTTCTCTCTTTTCCTTTTTTGTTGGTCCTGGATACTACCAGCACACTCCACTGATTCAGTCCACAAGACAGCTACAGACCTCAGGAACAGAGCTACCTGCTTCCTTCATAATCTCTTCTTTCGAGACTTTTGATCCTTATACCTCCCACTACAGGTAGCTACCGGTAGCTTGTTATCAAGATGTGCCAACCTGCTGAAGACCACACCAAAGAGTCTGACGATGAGAGTCTCAGTCAGGACAACCAGAAGAACAACCAAAAGAAGAAGAACAGCAGCACACGAAATGACACTATCCGCCCCCATGTGGTCAACAAGACATGGACGTACATGACGGAAGGTCTGCTGCATCAATGGCTCCGTCGCTGTGTCGTCAAGATGGCTCTCACGGCCGCCACGTATCCCTTGACTACCATTGCTACCATCTCCTTTCTCTCGCTCACTCTGATTGCCACGGGATTCTTTACCAACTTTAAAATTGTCTACAATCACCAAGAAATATTTACACCCTTTGGCAGTTTGCCGGAACAACATCATGAATGGATCACACAAGAATCGGGATTTGCCATTACCCGACCCTTTCTCGTACTCTTGCATCGCAATGGAGATTCGGTATTGCAAGCGACGGCTCTGCAAATGCTGTTCACGGCATTGAATACTATTCAATCCACACCGGGCTATGACGATGCGTGTCAACAATCGGCATATCTCGACAAGGCGACCAACAAGCCGACGTGTAAACTCTCCAGTGCCACACAGTTTTGGAATCACGACATTCAACAACTGTTGCAAGAACTCACGCCACTCGACAACATTACCGCACAAGATGAATACATTACCCAAGTCATGTCCAATGCCACATTTCCCGATGGAACACCTGTCTTTCACGAAGCCATTCTCGGAAATTATCAAATGGAAAATATTACCAACACAAACAATGCTACAGGAACAATCTCCTCCTCTTCTTCTTCACCCTCCTTCTCCAGCATCCAATCATCCCCACAGCAACTACAAATCTTGACCACGGCACAATCCTACATTATCAGTATTGACTTTCCCGAACGGGGCGCCGACTCGGATGCTCTCGAAAAGGTCCTGTTGGAGCGCATGAAACAACTGCGACTTGAGTGGGAAGAATCAACGCAAGCTACCGGTGGCGTTGTGCTGGAATACTTTACCATGTACAGCTACCTGCTCGAATTTGAACGAGCCGTCTACAGCGACGTCTATCTGGTCGTTGTCATGATGTTTATCATGGTCTCCTTTTGTTGCATGGTATTCTACCGAAAAGCGGATCCCATTCAATCTCGCGCACTGGTGGGCCTCTTTAGTATCACTACCATTGGCATGTCGCTCATGACGGGATATGGACTCATGTGGTGTATCGGAGTGCCATTTACCAACATTTCCATGATGGTCCCATTCATTATTGTCGGGGTGGGGTGAGTACACGTACAGTGCAAAACAAAAGCAAAGGAAGTGTTGTCTTTCTGTCATTTCTAACCTTCCTCCTTGTCATTCTCTCTCCACTCCCAGATTGGATGATACATTCATCATTACAGGAGCCTACTTTCGAAAGTCCATGGCAGCATCATCATCCTCACGCAACAACAACAACTCGACTTCACGGCAAACTTCATTGACCAAAAAGGATCCTGTACGAGATGGACCCATTCTAGCGCGAGTCGAGGAAACCATGCAGGAAGTTGGATCCAGTATCTCCTTGACCACCATTACGACCATGTTGGCATTTTGTCTTGGGGCCATTTCCTCCATCCCCGCCATTCGATGGCTCTGTATTTATGGATTCGTTTGCATCGGGGTCGACTTTGTCTACCAGTGTACCTACTTTATTGCCTGGATGGTACTCGATGAACGACGAGTCCAAGCCAAACGCAAGGATATTTGCTTTTGGATTTCCTTGGCAGAAGAAGAGGAAGACGACGACGAGGACAAACACCAAATCAATAGCATGCTCAAATCAGACTCTTCTTCGTCTTTGGAGGAGGAGGAGAGCAATGACGACAACGCGCAACCAATCTCCAACCAGCAAAACTTTTCCGAACGATTCATGAAATGGTATGCCGACAAACTACTCCAACCAGCTGTCAAGGTGTTTGTCTTGATCTTCTTTACCGTCTACCTGGCAGGATGCATCTACTCTACCACCAAACTCACGCAACAATTCAATGTGGAGAACTACGTCCCCAAAGGCAGTCATGTCAAGACCTTCTTTTCCACCTTTGATGACTACAGTTCTCTCTTTCGGGGCATTCAAGTCTATTTTCGCCACGAAGATCAATCGGACCCAATGATTCAACAACAAATGATGACCTACGTGGATGAGTTGTCCAAGCTGGATCAGATTGGCGCACCTCCCGAGTTCTTTTGGCTCCGGGACTTTGCCGAAATGGCCAATGCGCCCGAGTTTGCCGAGCAGTCCGCTGCCTTGGGATTGCAAGATGCTAGCTTTGAAGAACAGATTGATGTGGTGCTATCGATCCCAGAAGTGCGGGATGTCTACGGAGCCGACATTGTACGTGATCCCGATACCGGATTCATTACCGCGTCCCGATGCTATCTGTACCTTCGAAAGATCGACATGCAGTCCGTTGCCAATCAAGTATCGTTCCTCATGGATCAACGGGATATTTCCAAGCGACAACCCATCAATAATCAAGAAGGCAAGACGGACTGGTCTTTCTTTGCGTTTGATGACATGTACTTCTTCTTTGAACTGTACGCTGTCAGTGTCCAAGAACTGGTAGGTTCAGAGACTGGCTGTCATTGGACTCAAACCAAGCCACTTTTGATTGCTCACCACCGACCTTTCCTCCTCCCACGCAGATCTTCACCACGGTTTCCGGGGTTGCGGCTGTTAGTGCAGTGGCATTTGTCTTGATACCGCATTGGTCTGCCGTTGCCTTTGTGATGCCATTGATTATTGCTCTTTATTTCATGCTGTTGGGTGAGTTTAGCAGTGTCTGTATTAGACGAGGCTGTGTGCTTGGGTTTCGATCTTTGGCTTCGGCGCTAACCAAAACTGTCCTCGTCATCATGATGTGCACGCAGGTACCATGCAATATTCCGGTATTCATATCAATGCTGTTACGTATGTCATCATCGTCATGGCCATTGGACTGCTAGTAGATTTCTTGATGCACATGCTTCTCAGGTACTTTGAATCGAAAGCTACCACCAGACACGAAAAGGTGAAACACACCCTCCAAACCATGGGATCTAGCATTCTGTTGGGTGGATTGACTACCTTTATTGGTGTAATCCCGCTGGCCTTTAGCTCCACAACTGTTTTCATGGTCGTATTCAAATCCTTCCTGGCCATGGTCTGTCTGGGATGTGGTGTCGGCTTGATCTTGCTACCGGTCTTGTTGTCGCTCGTGGGGCCTGAGGGTGTGACACATGCAGAGCCAAATGAAATGGAAGAAGCATGTTCAACTGTCGTGCTTGACAGCAAAGCTAGTTCGGATGGCAACGAGGTGACTGCCGAGTCTGATTCGTCCTCCGATGACGGTGACAAGAGGATGCCCGCGGTTATGTCGACTTCTCCCCGCACTGGTGAATACGAAACCGTCTACGAAGTTTAGTACAGAAGAATAATAGCCCTCGACGCACAGAGGCACATTGAACGAAGCAAGAAAAGGCTTCAGGGGCGAGCTTCATCTACTCGTGATGTCTCAGACACCAGAATGAAATGCCAACGATGCACGCACATCCTCAGCGCAGTTAAGGAATCAAAGCTCCGAAGGGCTTGACGAACCGGCAGTTCAGCCTTTGTCACCTTGCTTCGTGGCATGGCACTTGCTTTGCCCAGCACAAACGAGTTTACAACTTGACATAGTAACGATAACACAAAGCATCTTAAAGGTGGGTCTGGCTAAGGAGCAACGGACTACTATATTGCTTGCGGCGAGACCTTTAGAGATTGCCGAGAGCGAGCCCCTGCCATTTCAACGAGACGGGTTACGGCTTCGAAACAGAGCCGACTCACGGGGAGGAACGACGACCTTTGCAGGACGGTCTTGTGGTGCGAAGGCTAGCTGCAGACAGACGGGCGATATACCGTCATCGAACCGCTGCGTCGACACCTGAGCAGTGGCCGCGTGAACTAACGAAAAGAGGACAATCAATTGCAATAAGTACGGTTCACTTTTCAAAAGCATGACAATTATATATCTGCAATCATGCCAATCAAGCATTTGCTTCCTTGGCTTCCGCGTGAGCATGGGACGATCGCCTAGGAGAGGCAGGAGGGGTTTCCACACGAGGAGGAGGGGGGTTGTTGTGTTGCTGGACAAGAGGCAACACTTCTTCGCTGCTGGACATGGATCTGCTGGGCTCGGGTTCACCTGGAATTTTTCCTGTTCCCACCAAATGAACAAACTTAAGAGTGGCAACCATGGCCGCAAGAAAGAAGAAAGCCGCAAAGATTTCCGCCACAGCACCCTGCCCGAGACGGACCTCACTCCTGCAGGACCAGCTGTAGCTTGTGGTTCTGCTGAGTTCAGCACAAGGGTTCCACGATGCGGCAATCCAGGTCGAAGAAGCCGAAAAGGCCGCGCAAGCCCCATAAGCCGCGGCGATGCGATTAAGCATGCCCTTGTTGAGGTGGAAGCAAATGGCTCCAAAGAGATAGACTGTGGTGATACATCCAATAACAGCCACCAAAATGGCGCAGACAGTGGCAACTTGAATCTTCCCTGCAAATCAAGAATCACACAATGAGATCATCTGGATTTGATCTCTCTTTTCATGCCCAACTATGACTTACAGAATTGGCTGCCGCTCTTGGAATGGGCGGTGTTCACCAAAAATAAAGGAAGGCAGGCAACAATGGAGTCCTGGTCCTTAAAATTCACACAAATGAAGTGCACTTCCGAGAACCATTCACCAGGCGTCCAGGGCAAGACATAGAAAGTGCACAGAAGGCCCGCAAGGGCCATCATCGTGGGGAAAAAAGAGATTTGTCCCTGGGGATAAGAGCTACGGTACGTACCGGAGTGAACAAAAGTGAGAAAAGGAAACGAATCCGAGCAACAATGACAATACACAAGAGCATCACGCACCAACAGCGTCCATGTGGAGCCATGGTTATCTTTTTTGTTGTTGCAAGGTGAGAGAGACAGAGAGGGGCTGAAGGAGAGATGATGTTGTGTGCTCCTTTGCATGCCTGATGGTGTCTTCTATTTTAGGGTTGCTTGGTACAGTAGCAAGGTATGGTACCGGTCCTGCAGGCCGAAGGACCGGTAGCTAAACTGAACCATGTTTGCATGTTTGCGTATGTGTTCTGTGGCAACTTCTGTGAATAGACAAGGTTCAGACTCAGGTCTATCAGACTGAATTACTCACTTCCCTCCATTTAGAAACTCGCGTACTCATTGTTAAATCATAACCATTTGGCCCCCGTAATAGTCCTCACTTTCTTGCCCCTGATCCCACAGAACCTAGCTAGTCCCGAATTTCGACTGTTCTTTGCTTAAGCCTGGCCCCGGCTGGCTTCGGTAGATAATTTCCCTACTCTAAACCCCCCATTAATAATTTGATTTGAAGATGGTACATCTGTAGCGCCCTTGGTGCTTGGTGTATCCATTTACCAACAAAAAAAAAAACTGCCTAAACATGCCTACTACTTACTAGTAGCTAGCTAGCTAACGAAGAGAGGAAAATTGCAATATTATTGCAACCATTCTCTAATTTTTATAAAAAAACAGAAGTCTGAAGAAGTGCAAATTATCTGTCCACGTTATACCGGTACTTGGCTAGAGTTGGCAATCAGTCATACGGTGCAAGCATTTGTTCCTTCTTGTGCTCCCTACACTCATGTATGGAAGATGCCATTGGGGGCTTTTGGGCGGGACGATCGCAATATTGCAATCGGTTCGGAGCACTATGATATCATTCAAATACAATAACAGTTAGCTATATCTTTGTTCATCAACTTGCAATCAGTCCTATCAAGCATCTGCTTCCTTCTTTTGCGCACTGCAATCATGCATGGAGGAGACCATTGGAGCCTTCCGGGCGGGATGATCGCCTAGGAGAGGTGGGAGGGGTTTCCACACGTGGAGCAGGCGGGTTGCTGTGTTGCTGGACGAGAGGCAACACTTCGTCGCTGCTTTTCATGGTTCCACTGGGCTCAGGCTCACCTGGGACTTTTCCGGTTCCCACTGATTGAGCAAAATTAAGAGTGGCAACAGCCGCCGCAAGAAAGAAAAAAGCGGCAAAGATTTCCGCAACAGCACCCTTCTCGAGACGGACCACCGTCTTGCAGCTTTCGCTGGTGTTGCCGAGTTGGGCGCAACGGTCCCACGATGCAGCGATAAAGGTCAAAGCCGAAAAGGCTGCACAAGCGGTGTAACCTGCAGCAATGCGATTGAGCATGCCTTTCTCAAGGTGGAAGCAAATGGCTCCAAAGAGATATACTGTGGCGATACAACCAATCACAGCAGCCAAAATGGCGCAGATTGTGGCGACCTGAATCTTCCCTGTAAATCAAGAACCACATGATGAGATTATCCAGGCTATGAGTTCTCTTGTTTTTTCATTCCAAACTATTACCTACAGTATTGCTTGGTTTCGTCTTCGTCGGGGCTGCCGCTGGACCAATAGTCGGTGTCCACCAAAATCAAAGGAAGGCAGGTAAAACTGAAGTCCTGGTCCTCCGGATGCACGCAAATGAAGTGCACCCCCGAAAACCATTCACCAGGCGTCCAGGGCAGCGCATAGAATGTACACAGAAGGCCCGCAAGTGCCATCATCGTGGGAAAAAAGGAGATTTGTCCCTGGGGATAAGAGCTACCAGTGCGAACAAAAGTGAGAAAGGAATCGAATGACATCCAAACAACAACAACAATACACAAGAGCATTACACACCAGCAACGTCCGCATAGAGCCATGGTTATCTGTTTTTGCAAGGTGAGAGGGGCGGAAGGAGAGATGTGTACTTCTTGGCGTGGTGTCACCTTAGTCACCTTTTCTGGGATCAATTGGTAATTGGTACCGGTGCTGTGGTTTTGGCGTTCGGTGAAGAGACAGGGTTCAGACTTGGATATCAGACTTGGAAAGTTCCTCTTAAATCTTTTGTTCTGAAGATTATTGCCATAAGCTCAAGCATCTGAAATGAACGACAGAAAATTTCCTAAGTGACGTCGTCTTGGACGAGCTATTTACTGTACCGGTACTCAGAGAGATAATTGCAAATTGGTAGGGAAAGGTGCGGGTTATCTTTTTTAAACAAAGCGCAGAAGGCACATTTTTTTGTCAAGCTCAGAAAGTCTCACATCAACGCAAAGAAGTTGACACAATGATGCGCCTTTCTCGGAGAGCAATCGCTGAGAAGCGAGTAGAGGAGGTCCCTGCATCTCAATGGGGAGTGACAAAAGAGCAATTCAAGGAGTTTGTAGCTAGGGTTGATTAAAAATGCATCCCATCCGACCTATGGTGATGCCAAGAGAGCGCAGCCAGAGAAGAAAAGCTCAGAGGACAATCACTCTCCTCCGGGGCTGCACAGGGATGCCTTGATTATGTGGCTTTCTTGGCGCTACTCCCTAATACAGTTCTATTGTATGTGGTGGCGGCTCTCCCTTTGAAATTCTGTTTGGGAGGAACGCTACTGTATTGGACTCGAACGGCTCCGGTGTGGGAACCCACCGAGGCATGTATTCGAAAGTGCCCTGGGCCGGGATGCAAGAAAAGTATATATTTGGGTGAGTGCCTAAACGACGCTGTCTTTGCACAAGAGACAGAAGCCATAGAAAATTGCGTGAACTGTTTTAGCTTCGAGGGACAGAAAGGAGTACAGCCCATGGTCAACTGTGACAAAATCGTTTTTCAAAAAGATGAAGGATCCATACCGTAGCGAAGCGTCGCCAAAGTTATCCCTGGGTGCAGCAAAGAGTACCGGTACACCCCATGGTGCCAAAGCGGTACAGCGATGACAAGTTCAATGACCCCAATGTGGGCCCATATCCACCAAATCAATGACCAAATCATCAAACCTCTCACACGAGGTGCAATCAACAAGCGGTGGAAGGACTATCACAAGTCTGGTCTCGGCTGGAGAAACCTCGCAGAACATGGTGCGGTCAAAAAGTCGAGTTGGGCCTTATAAAAAACGAACCTGGTTACTTAGGGGACCGAGGGCGCAAGCCCGATGGTAAAGGCCGGGACCCGAGGTCGGAGGTCCTCTAAGTAACTGACCGAGGGCTTAAGGAGGGCGAAGCCCGCCAGCCCGATGGTCAGTTACTTAGAGCGACCGGAGACCGATGGGGCACAGCCGCCCCTAAGTAGCCGGTTCGTTTTGTTAGGAACGATAACGGCTGGTTTGTATTTGTAACCGCCGGTCTGTGTAGACCTCTGTAGAGGAGTACCACAGAACCAGGTCACAAATACAAAACCTGCCGGTTCGTTCCTGATGAAGAATCCCTCGGGGGTGGATGTAGATCTTTTTGTGTCTCACGCGTGGGACGAAGAAATTTATGAAATGGCAAACCATCTTCTGGCTGCCTGGCCTGACGACTGTAAGGCTGCCTACATTTGCTTTCTGTCGAATCCACAGCATTGGACATTTCTGAGATGCTCTCCACCCTACACGAAAGCCCCTTTGCCTGCGCCCTCAACAGCGGTCTGGTGAAGCAAGTGCTTATGATTGCGACACAAAATGTGCCCATTCTCAACCGTTTATGGTGTTGCTATGAGGCTTTTCTGGCCATGAAACTGAATCTTTCCGTCCGCATTTGTGGCGATGAAAGGTACTTGTCAACGGTCCAAGGCAGAGTGGCAGAGTGCCGTGATCGGGCGAGATTGGATATGGATGCTAGAAACCAACTGCTCCGAAGACACTGCAAGACGATCGAAGATCGGATGCGCCGCCCAGTAGTACAAGCCACCTTTGTGCTGATGGGACTCTATCTTTATTCGGTCCTCGGAGCATATCCTTTGTTCCCCATTCATGCTTGTTTTGGTGCTTGTTGTCAGTCTCGCCTTGTCGGCTGTTCTTGGCGTGATCACGGCCGCAGTCAGGGATACACGGGGGATGGATTCCTCGAACAATCCATTGGTCCGTTCCTGTAATAATACATGGATAGGTTTCCAGTTAGTGGCAACATCTGCTTTCTACGCATGCTGTTGGGCCATCCTCGTAGCCCCCACGCTCATCTGTCTTTACGTGCCCAACATCCTTGGCATGGGTGACATCGCGGAGCTGGTTTTCGCTTTTGTGTTGTTTTTCTTTTGCATCCCCATATTGTTGTTTGGTTTACATCTTTGTATCACGGAGATGTGGTTGGGGCTGGCAAGGAACCAGGCGGAGAAGGATGTCACTCAGATCCAAAAGAGAGAATCAGTGGAGCTGGAGTCCATTGAACGGTTTGCAGTGGATGCATCCAATCCCGATGACGAAGAGTCCATCATGGCCGCAATCAATCAACAACGAGGCTGACCTGGTGAACGAGATGCTTACGACTCTGATCTCTGGACTAGAGGCAGAAGAAGCGGCCCCTCAATGACCAACCACGCCTGTGTACCTGTGCAGATACTTTATGATAGGAAAAGGCTAAACTATTTGTTTCTCCTGTTGTTCGTGCTCCATGTAGGCAAACCTCATTGGGTTATTCACTTTCTGTGGGAGACCAATCTCTCGTGATATGCTTATTCCATTCTGTACTTTTGCCCTCACGAATGACCTAGCCCAGACGCCCAGACTACGGAACCTTCATTCAGTGACGACTGGGGTCCGAAGAAAGGCTCTGTTGGACGTTGGTTTGGACCCTCATCCTAGTAGTCTCTGTCACTATGATTTGAGCACGACGGGGATGAAAGGGTTCAAGACAAAACAGAGACGAGCGGGAAACTGAAGGACAAGCTGCTGTTCTCTTATGCCACCGACAGGCTCACGGAGAAAACGCCCATTCTGATTTGCTGGAGTGCATTTAGATAGCAAGCTACCGGTAGGATAGCATCAATTAATTCAATTCCTGCAATTGGGGGCCAAATCCAACCTTATCTATCATTTCTTCCAGTTCTTGGAGGGTCAGTGGACGTTTTTTACCAGCCAGGGCGACCAACGTGGCTTCAATCAAATTGGTTCCAAAGGATCGTCCGTCCAAAACTGGTGTCGTTGTCACCAAGTACTTGACCCCCAGCTTTTTGAAAAGGGCCACATCTTCCGGGGTTGTCGTGTTGGTCACAATGACTTTTCCTTGCATGTTGTCAGGCATGTGTTGTTTGATATACATGCAATCGCCCGTGATGACCGTGGCCCAGTCGTAATAGTTGGTGTATTTTGGCGTCCGAACGTGCTGCTGCTCTCCAGTGGGGTAGAACCACTGCAATGGGAAACGGGTAGCCACGGGCACTATCATTTTTGTGGTCCATTTGAGTGCATTGAGTGATTTGATAGGAACCGGAATCCCCATAGTAAACATCAAATCGCCAAACACGGCTTCATAGCCAGCTTCCACAAAAGAACTAGAGAGTCCCCAGCGCTCGCCTCCCATTGTCACCAGAACCTTCTTTCCTCCATTTTCTTGGATATACTTCCCAATCTTTTCCTCTAAAAAGGCCGGTGCTCTATTTTCCAAAGTATTCTTCAAATTGCAACCGTCTACCACAGGAGTCGTCTTGACGTATCGTATCATGGGCTGAACCGAATGAAAGGGATAAAATACGCCATCGACCAGTGTGCCCAAGTCGGCACCACCGACGCTCAAGGCATCCACAGTGCCGTCCAGTTCCTTGAACTTGAGCGCGGCAGCTTCCATATCCCCATTAGTGCCGATGCGCTCGATGCGGATCTTCTCGCCCAACAGTTCCACTTCCACCACTTTGTCGCGCTTGGACGAACCAATGCTGACACTCACGGCTCGTTTCATGGCTAGAGTGGCTGTCCCTTGATTACCTAAGGTAGCTAGCTAGTAGAGTACAGCCGTAGCGGTGTGGCTTCTTTGGTTGTGAGATTGAGAATTGAGATGGCACGGAATATCACTGCAGCCCACAAGCAAAAACGATTTCCAATGTATGTTTGTATCGATGCATGGGAAGCCAAGTCGACGACAGAGATTCATACAGTACCTTCCGTACGCTGAACAGTCGTACCAGGTACCGCACCACAAAAAAATAATGCACAGTCTCTCGTACTAGTCTAGTACCGGTACACTAGACTACCAGGTACCAGGTATACTGTACTAGTACAGTACCGTAGCCAGTCTGCTGTAATTTGACGACGTTGCAGATGCATTGGCCTTGAATATAAGATACTCATACTTTGATCTCTGCCGAACCCAGTATCCGGTACCCGTATGCCGGTATGGTCACAATGATACTGGTAGGGTGAGGGTGTTTCCATTGTGACTACAACACATCATGTATGATAGCAGACTGTATCTCGTCTGGATCAAAAGATGCTTCATCGCCATGTAAAGTAAGAGCCTATAAGCTACCGTTACTGGTACTGTACAGTAGGTACCGGTAGCATAATACTACTCTGGATAGATCCTGTAGGTGCCCTGGAAGGTCAATCAATTAATCTTATAAAAAGGGTTAAGCGTTTGGTTCAGTTCCCGCACAAAAGACTGACACACATTTCACTTTTTGTAAGGAAAGGCAACCATTCGCTTTTTTTGAGGGCCGCTTATTGATGGCTTGATGACATCCATTGTGGCTTGTCCCTTCCGACTAACTATCGTACCGGTTTTCCACATAAAACAACACACAGACGCATCAAACATCATGAAACACAAGAAGATGAGTGCACTCCTTTCGTTCCTCCTAAGCTGGCTGTGCCCATTGCTTTGCTACTCCTCTTCTTTCCATGGATCGCTCTGCTACGAGTCTCAGTCTATCATGCGACTACAACACCAACGAGTGCTCTGTTCTATCAAATAATAATGCCACCGACACAACGATGTTACCAACCCAACGGACCGTTCCATCCCACTTCCCTGGTTTCAACGTGACGACTTTCTACAATTGATGAAACGGGTAAAAACGCCGAAGTTCGTCGAATGAGACTGGAAAAGCAGACCTTACACTACACAATCGTAATCTACGAAGCCACAGGATACAAAGAAGTTTCGCTTATTCCACAAGCTCTCACTAAACTAGCTAGCTAGATGCGGGTGGATAGATATATAGTTAAAACCCACCACGTCGGAATTCCTCGTCGTCCTCTTCGGTTTCCTTTTGTCCCTTGGCAATGGCAGCCGTGAACAAGAATAGACACAAGGGAAGCCCCGTCAGTGCAACACCCGCAGTGGGCGCAAAGCCAAAGGATGGATTTCCGCCGAGCAAGTCGAATATTGAGCCTACAGTGTAGTACAACACACACAAGTCGTTACATAAGAGAAAACAATAGTGAGAACAAAATATCCAGTCAATAACCCCTGATGGGATTGTAATTTTCTCGCATGAATAATAATACAAATATATACCTGTGGATACAATGCCAAGAATCATGGACGATGCCAACAACAATGGAGAAGGCAAATCAATTGGAACCGATGATTCTTCCTCTTCTACCGGTACAACAACTGCCGGTGGTGCCGCCTTGGGTGGATCTTCCGAGACGGGAACAGCCGATGGCGATTCGGAGGGAGTTTCACTGACAGCAGCTTCCGAGGCTTTATCCTCCTCCTTTTCTGGTTCGGAAGGAGTGGACAGGAAGATTTTTGGGGATGACCGTGATGTCGAGATGAATGCTCGATGGGCACCATGACGAAACACAGATATCACAGCCCTTTCCGGTACTTTGGTCACAAATGCATCACACAGAGTTGCCACCAGCAAGAAGAGGATTGTCGATATTGCAGCAGACGACTTCATTTGCTTGGTTCCAAGAATGCAGAATGCAGTATAGTAGATCGATTTCTATTGTCGGTCGCAAGTGGCAAGGAAGAATGTATCGATAATGTATGGACCAGGAGCGCCATGGTTTCTTGACACAGTTCGTAAGTTGATGTTGTTTTGGGGAAAGGATCGCGGGAACCAAAGCGTGACTCACTAGAACCCCAACCCTCCACACAACCAAACCCGCATGTCGGCAGTACAAAGTACCACCACACAGCAACAACAACCCCAACACCGCAACACAGACTTCTGGTCTCTATTCTTCCCTGACATTCTCAAGACCCAACAACAACAACAACAACAACAACAAAGTTCAAAACAAAGACCATGTCATACTTACTACCCCACTTACACAGTGGCTGGGAAGTCGACCAAGCGATTGTGACAGAAGAAGACCGAGTGGTGGTAATTCGCTTTGGCCGAGATCAAGACCCGACGTGCATGATTCAGGACGAAGTCCTCATGTCCATTGCGGAGAAAGTCAAGAATTTCGCCAAGATCTACGTGGTGGATATCGATGAAGTACCAGATTTCAGCAACATGTACGAGCTGTACGATCCATGTACCACCATGTTCTTCTACCGTAACAAGGTGAGTGATGTTACTGGCTAACTAACTAACTCATGGGGTTGGTTAATTCCCTGTGGCTGTTGCTTTCTTCCTGTTTCTTGTTTTTGTCATTTTCTCACAGAGAGTTACATTGTACTCCCTTCTTTGCTCAGCACATCATGGTTGATCTAGGGACTGGTGACAACAACAAGATCAATTGGGCCCTTGCAGACAAGCAAGAGTTCATCGATATTATAGAGGTAAGTGGCTGGGGGTTAACTCCATGAGACTCACTGCCGGTTTTAGTTTTCTGACAATCCCTTTTAATTAATGCTTTTGCTCTTGAATTCTGAGCAGATGGTTTATAGGGGAGCACGAAAAGGAAGAGGTCTAGTGGTGTCGCCAAAGGACTACTCAACAAAGTACAGATATTAGAACACTTGGAAAAAGGAGTTCTTTGGCTCAAACGAGTACTGAGCAGGCTGCCTTTTGGATACCAGTTAGAAGAGTGACAACAAGCAAAACGAAACACAAAAATCAGTATACCACAAGCAATGGATTTATCAAAGAATCTCTAAAATCGACCTAGCCAGAAGTGCAAGCATTATTTTGAAGAGACGGGATGTACAGTCGAACCATCAACAATATTCAAGCATTCGTCGAGTGAATTTGCGTTGTTCTTGGTTGGGACATGTATAACGACTAGATTGCACAGTGCAGTATCAATGCATGTACCGTAGGTTATCAATGCATGTACCGTAGGTTATTAAAAACCGTGTTATCTTTCTTTTTTACTTTCCTTCTGTTCAGCCTTCTGTTTCGGGTACCGTATGGCATACATGTAGCTGTACGCAGTAACGCGGCATAAGTGGAACACTGGAACATAGCTCTATCTTTCAATGCACCTATTACACGATTGCTGATTTATTTGGCCATTATGAAGGAAGCCATGACCATGGCACTGGATGGGACCGTGGAAAAACTCCAGAAGAAACTGTACAAGAAGATTGCATACCATACCTCCACGAGCAATACCGTCGGTACCTTGGAGACTTGTTTGACATTATTCCCGAGGACTTGGAGGAGGAGATGGTTCCGTTTGACCACGACCAGTATGATCTGGAGACAGTTAGTTGTCGAAATGATCCGTCGCATTCACCATGGCGGTTTCTTTGTCGCTCCAGCCGGTCCACCTGCGACGACAACACTGGGGTTCCGCATCACTGCTGTGCAACCTGATACTCGGGAACAAGACATTCGAAATGTCCTCAAGTTGTCACGAAAGGTCATGTTGGAGCATTCCACCTTTGCGCCATGATGGAAACAATGAGGACGAAAAGTATGTTATTACATGGTAAAAAACTAATAGAGATGTTCATAAGCTGATACCAGTCTATCTGGTACTGTTTATTACTACTAATAATTACTAGCTAGATCTAATTAATTCACCACGGACAATAGTTCATAGTGAAGCAATTTCATGCCCATACTCGTGAGATGTTTTTGAATTTGAGGATTCCCTTCTTCAATCATGTGACTTTGTTGGAGCAAACAGGTCGTGGCATAGAATTTGTGCAGCCGCCCATTCACAATCTTTTGGACAATCGCGGGTGGTTTTCCCGAATCGGCAATTTGTTTGGCCAGCAAGTCTCGTTCCGCCTCGACAATGTCGTCTGGAATACTGGTGGAATCCAAATACTGTGGTTTGGCAGCGACAATGTGCATGGCCAATTTTTTGCCCGTTTCCAACATTTTGTCAGTGTCTTTGTTGTTATTGTTGTCGAGTGGGGCCAAACTGACCAATGCAGCAGCAGTGCCTGCTTGCGAGGGTAGAATTCTTCCATGGACATATCCCACCACGACACCTCCTTCGGGGGAGGCCGTAACTTTGGTGGCATGACTCAATGACAGATTTTCACGAATGGCCACCATGGCATCGCTCATGGCACTTTCCACCGTGCTGTCGTTTTGTAGTACTTGTACGAGTGGCTCAGCAGTAGTGTCATTCGTTTGAAGAAGCGCCGCTTGAGCACAGAATTCGACCAAATCGACAAACGTTTGACTGCGCCCGGCAAAATCGGTTTCGGATGACACTGCCACCAGCGATGCTGCCTTGTGTTGTGCCGTCAAAGCAATGGCGACCAATCCTTCTCTGGCTTCTCGATCGGCGACTTTGGAAGATACCTTGGCGGCACCGTGTTCGCGCAACCAATCCAATGCCGCCTTTAAATCATTGTCGGAATTTGACAGTGCCTTTTTGCAATCCACAATCGGAGCTCCTGATGCGGCGCGCAGTTCTTTGATCAAGGACATGGTCGAAAATTGACAGACGGATGCATATTGATGCCAAGGACGAGGATGATGATGACGACTCGAACGAAGCGCCAAAGTCACCAGTCTTCGAGTGGCGGTTTGCAAAGACAACGACGACGAGAGCATCATGGTTGGGCTTGATAAAATGAGGGTTCCAAGAAGTTTGTAAACAACAAACAAAATCTTTGGTGAAAAAATGAGCGGTCGTGACGCACCGAATTAGTGTGCTTCCAGCTATAAAAAGATCCATTTTGAGTCCAATTAGTCATTCGGAAGTCCTCAAAAAATGGCAACGTGTCTCTTTCACGCCGTCTTTGATACATCTCTTGTTTGTACATGTATGTGCTGACCTCATAGAGGATTCTGCTGGGGCTGTGTCTTTGTTTTGCCATGAGTTATGCCTATGCCATAAAGCAAAGTGTCTTTCTACCAACAACCAAGAAGAAGCTCGCATTCCTGCTTGCTCTAGTCATACTATCTGTTTTTAAAAATCCAAAGGTTGTGAGTGCTACCGGCACCATGGAGACCTCGACACCGACAACGGCTACCCCTAAAGGCACCATTAAAGATACCATTAAAGTCATCTTTAGTGATGTGGATGGGACGCTGGTTCATTATCCAAAAACCATCCCGGATGATGATCCTTTAAACAACAATAATAATAATCCAATCATCCGACTTCCACCCAGTGCCACCGGTATGCAAGGCATTATTTCCTCACAAACATTCGCCAAGTGTCAACAAATTCGTGACACTACTCCAGACACCAAACTGGTACTCGTCAGTGGGATGCGAACGACTACCCTCCTCAAACGACTCCCGTTTCTACCCAAAGCCGATGCTTACTGTTCGGAAGCCGGTGGACGAATCTTTTGGAGTCGACCGGTATCATCATCATCCAACGACAATACCTTTGTTGTCACACCCTGTAATGGAGCCACCGACTTGGAACCCTTTGAAATTGTCGAAGACCAAGAATGGCGACGTCGCATGCAACAGACACATGCCGCAGGATCCGATGGATACCCCAGTGCCGAACTGACAACAGAAACAACACAACCACCACAACCACAACAAGTCTCCAAACGATCGGGAGCACTCTGGGAATTTGCACAGAAGCTCTTGGCCAAGGGATTGGTGCTGGATACCAACGGGTATGCCACTTGTTTTCGCATCAATCGCAAACAGCAACGACAACAGCAACCACAACGAAACAACAACAACAACGACGACCAATTATTATTTGATCAACTGCTACAGGGGCAAATACTGCCGTGTCCACCCGCATTGGCCACCAGTACCAATCTGGGTTGTATCGACTACTATCCCATGGAAAGTGGGAAATTGAACTGTTGTCGCTATGTGGCCAACAAGCTATTATTATTGGACAACAGCAACAACAATGCTGAGGAGGACATCTTGTCCAAGCACTGTGTGTGCCTCTGTGACGATGACAATGATCTCGAAATGGCATTGGCGTGCCAACATGCCTTTATTCCAGGAATTAGTTCCACCAGTATGGCAAATGTCATTGGCAAACATCCACACCATTTTAGTCAAACTGGAGGAAAACACAGCAATGATGGAATAGAGGGAACCATTGCCACAGAACAGGCACTGTCTCTGGTACTGGCAAGGCTTGCAGAAGGGTAGTCAGTTGATTAGTTGCATAGACAAACTAAACTGAATATCACTTGTGCCAACATGGCAGAGCAGCGCAGAGCAGAGCACACCCAACGTATTACCATGGCAGAAAGTGTAGCTATTACTAGCTAGACTACCTAGTCGCCTGCCTTTCGCTTCCTGTCTTTTCGTTTCCTTTCTTCATTTTCCACCATGATTGAGTTTGTTGGAATGTCGTGTCTGCTTCCAAACTTTTACTGACGAGGTTCCTCAGCGATATCTTCATTGTCTCCGGATTCTTGTCGCCGCCCTGTTGGAGACAATCCACCACCTCTTCCACAAAGACGGCAAAGGACCGCAGTTCACACTGTTGAATCAACGTGGCGTATGGAGACTCCGTGTCGTAGAAAAAGGCACCACCAAAGTCCCCCAGTCGAACTTGTGCTAAATTGGTTTCTTGAATCAAAATGTTGTGTCCGTAAAAGTCACCATGACAAATTCCCACGTGATGCAATTGGCACAACGCGTCCAACAGTCCCGTGACAATCGTCTCGGCTTCTTCACTCGTCACTTGTCGATTGATAGTGTCGTCGTAGACATCTTTCCAACACGTTTCAAAATTGGGACGCCCTCCAAACATTTGGTAGCCATCCAGGAATTCCATGACCAAGGCACCCCCTTTGGTTTGTCCCAGTACTTGAATGAGACACGGACTGCCCAGACTCCCCGCCAGTGCGGCCATGCGTCGTTCTTCTTGTGGTAATCCATCCGTCGTCATGGCTCCGTGAAATGTCTTGACGGCGACCCAATTTTGATCATAGCGCACTTTCCGAGTGACACCACCTCCACCTTCTCCCAATACGTCGCCTTGTCCATCGGGAATGGCGTCGAGTACGGCCAGATCGGGTAATGTCGGAAGATTGGGAATGTTTCGAGTCACGGGATTGTCGGAAAAGGCGACCCATTTCATGGCAGGAATGTGCGACAATACCATTGTGCATTGATTAATCTAACGATCTAAGAGATGTAAAGTTTGTATTTCCAAATAAGTGAGCAGTTATTGATTATTTTCTAGATAAGCCTGCTAATTGTAAGCTGTAAAGCTGAATTGTAAGCTGTATCCCGTCCACTCCCTTACAGCTGAAATGAAGCTGAGCAAGAAACGATAGGAGAGATCCCCAGCAAAGTGCTGAGGTAAATTACCATCCCATGAGGAGTTCCGAATGACAGCAAACTGTGGAGCGGAAGACCCTTAGTGAAATGTCGGCCCGTTGTTCCAGAGTCGGAATATACTTAGCCACGATGCCTTCGACCCCGATATTGGACCTGAAGATGGTACTTCAATGCCAATACTTGTTGCGCGCAGACATTTTGGGAACATTCACAAGAGACAAGCAACCTTGGTTGTCTTCGACACTGTAGAGCGCACGAGATGTCAGTAATTACCGGCATATTCAGTTTCTACCAATTTCTTTGAGCAAAGCTCGCATAGGAGCAGCTCCCTCATTGACATGCTGAAGGCAACATACTCAGCAGCAGTGGAGCTCAAGTAATTTCAGTCTGTAGCTTGCTGGACCAGATAATAGGGCACCCAACAGAGTCAGGACAAATCCAGTGCGAGACTTGACGGACACAGGATCTGTCATCCTCATATCCATACAATCCGGCGAAGTCAGCATCGACCCAACAATCAAGTCCCTGATCAAGTTTAGGGCTAAAACAAATGCCTTTGTCACTGTGCCAATCAGATACCGAATGATACGTTTGATTGCTTGAGCATGGAATGCCTGGGATTGTGACTGAATCGTGCCACCTGGTGCACACTAAAATTGATGTCTGGGCGAGTGTTCGACGCAATATAAAGAAGCATCCCAACTGCAGCTGGATAGCTCCATCTTCTTCAATGGGGCCCCCAGTTTGTCAGCTCCAAGAGGATCGGTGGCGGCAGGAGAAGCTTCTCTGCTAGCGTCAACATACCAGTATATTCGATGACTTTATTGATGAGCCCTTTTTGAGTAAGCTCAACAATTGTCTCCCTGTTTTCAAAATTAATCGAGGAATCCAAAGATGTCACCTTTTTCTTCCATGGTGAGTCATATCCAAGTTTCTGGAGCTGCCCAACATAGGACTCAATCAGATCATTGTCTGGATGAGCCAGATTTGGTCATACAATAATTAATACCATGAGTTGATGCTCCTTATGAATAAAAAACATGGGTCTGCTGCCGAGGTTTCGAAACCAGTTGGATCATCCCCGACATAGATGCTCATAAAATAATTTAGGTGAATCGGTCTGCCATAGATGGACTTGTCAAGTTTCAAAACACAGTCCTGTTC